TGAAGTTTAATATTGTACATTTTGCAAGATAGACATAATGTTTAAAAGTTACTCATCCTTTACACCAAAATTTAATCTTTAGACGGTCTGTCCAGCGCAAAGAAATTTTTCCAGCACTCAAGACAGATGTGATGAATACCTGGTATCTGTTAAGTTTTATGACATGTGTTTCGTCATGTATCTTGATTTAAGAAGGTGCATTTTCAATTTATGGTAATACCAAGTGAAACAACAAAGATAAAGTTTTCAGAATGTCCCACTTTCCAGTTCTGAAGCTCCATTCTTTTTGAAAGCGATAGCAATTTCATATGCTAAGAAGCCAAATGCTTTGGGAGGAAAAAAACAAACCAAGTGGAGGCTGTCATCTCCTCAGACATCCCAGCTTCTAAGCTGGGCGTCTAGTCATTCTTATACTTACTGGGTGCTTTGGATTACAATATTCTAGCTGTCATTAAGAAAAGGACATTTAAAGGTACAGAAAATGGGATTCTTGGTCTTTACCTTATCCATAGTGTCATGAAAAGATGTTTTGTACATCTGTGGATCTCAATAAACTTAACACCAAGAAAAAAGCTATTAGAGTGTTTTGGGGTTTTTTTCCTCTTGAAATACCTTAGCCCATAGCTCAAGAGCAGTTTGATTGGATTATTAATAGTCCTAGATACATCCAAAATTAATAGGTTACTTCACTGAGTTCTGAGAAGGCGATTAATGTTTCGCCTTAATTTTCCACTGTTTTCCTCGGCACTGTGGAAGTATATTGTGTTAATGTGAAATGCAGTATCATTAGGAGGATTACTGTAACTTAAAATAGATTTTATTGGTTTGGTATAAGAATTACTAAGAGGGATTCTGTAGCAACGGTTAGTGGTTAGATTGCTATAGTGCTCTGTTCTACCTCCAAATCTATGAGCCAGTAGCAAGATTGTACAGGTGGTAGCATCAGACTCATACTGTCAGGGAAGTTTGTATGGCTGTGTAGAAGAACAACCCAATGCTATGGCCATCATTAGTTGCAGAAAAGGAAACTTCCAGTTGATGATGCGATGGACTTAAAGCCCCCGTTTACTAACTTAGTACTTGTGACCTCAGTAGAATTAGGAATCGATTGTAATCTGGAAAGAAAAAAACATTGAAGAAAAGAAGAAAGGGGAAAAAAGGACTGCTCACTGAATGAGCATTTGCATTAGAGGAGCAGAAAATTTTCCTGTTTATTTTTTTAATTAGCTCTAGCTCTGCTTTTTGTGAAAGAAATCTAAAAGTAATGTTTATACAACCTGTTCATACACCTCCACATTTGAACAGATGTTTGTTTTGAAGACCTAGAAACTATATATGTTGTAGTTAAAGCCCCTCAGAGATTTGAGCAAATCGATCACAAATAAATTGTCAGTGTTTTTTACCTTATGGTGAGGTTTGTGGAGTGAGAGAGAGGAGGGAGATCAGTGTGATGATGGGAAGTTCCCTTCTTACTCTCCAACCAGAAACAGTGTCTTGTCATTCAGCATCTTTCTTTTGCCTCGAGACATGCTAAGCATCGGTATGCCTGTACATTTAATGCTAATTCAGTTGAGGTTTTTTTCCCCTGAAATCAAAGACAATAAACAGTGAAAGTTGTAGTTATTGTTAAATTTTAACCTGTTCTTACAAACCAACAACTTACTGTTCAAAAAGGGATTTATTTAGTATAGTCATCAGGCTAGTGTTTTTAAACTGACAAAACCAGTTAGTGAATTTCAAAATTACTCTTACGGGATATTGTTAGAATTGCTACTAAATTTGTGCAGTGTATAACAGAATGGAGTATAAGATACTTCTAGTTTCAAAGCATTTACAGTTCTCAGAGATAAAATATTGTGAAGGGAAAGTGGAGGTATGAACCAAGAACTGAAAACAGTGGATTAAGATCCCAGCTAGGAATTAACCTCTAGTTCTGAGTCATATACTGTAGTGCTGCACTATTAGAGCAGTTTTTTTTGGAGTATGTTATGCTGTACGAAAGTCTGGATAGGAGATTATGGTCTGTAACTAAAGCTTGTGCACTGTTGTAGGAGGGTGAGACACTAAACACAAAGATAGAATGGCTAAAGTGCTTACTGTTTAAAAGCTAAAGCATTAGGTAAGGGACTTCTTAATAGTTGTACTGAGTATAAGGAAGGAGTTTATTTCTGGAAGTTAGTCATCTTATTATTAATCAGCAAGAAAATAGACATTGATATTTTATCTAGGACCGCAGTGTCTAAAATCATCTATGCTGTTTAAACAATTCAGCCAGCCTATTTCAAAAGAGGCTGCAGACCTACAGAATTCAGGTTGTTCTGGAACAAAGACTAAACTGAACTTCTGACAATAAAGAATCATAATGGAAACTCTTCACAGAAGTTGTAATTACAATACATGATAGTAATTAGACAGGTGAACTTTAGAGAGATTTCAGAGTATATAGATATTTTTCTCTTCCTGTAACTGTCAGTAAACTAGGAATTACATAGTAAACGTACTAAATAGTTCTTTTGAACCTGTGCAGTTCAACTGAGTTAGCTTTAAAGCTGAAAGCTGATATTGTGTGTTTGCCTTAGCAGCAGCTGCAAAAACTCTTGGGGGTATGTGTATGGATAGTTGTCATACAGAAGAGTCATATGTTATATCCGTTTAGTTTTGTGGTGCCAAAAAAACTTCAAAGTATGTAGCATCTAACTATCATTGGTATCAGTCCAAATCTATCATGATGCAATTTGATACTGGAATAACGTAGGAGGTTGTAACTTGAGTTCTTGCACTGGTAAGTATTGTGAGTTTTTTTTGCAGCAGCTTTATTATTTCAAACATTCATGTTTAACAAGGACTGAAACTTTGTCGTCTTTCAATCCCTAATGGCAAAAGTTCTGTTGCATCAAAAAATATTTATATTTTTATGCTTACTGCTAACACTGACATATGTAAGAAAAACTAACACAAGGTCTGTTAGATAAAATAGGCTATGGAGTAAACCATTGCTTCTTAATGTTTTAGCTTGTAATAATTTTGTAGTAATAAGAGAAAGGAAGCATATGCAAATGTGTACCAGTACACTTAGAATAGTATTATAGTAAAAAAAAAAAGGACCTATGAAAACTATGAAATATTTTTAAGTTAATTTGCATTTTATGTTTATTTAATATATGGTGTTAAATGGTCTTATTTACAAGTCCATGTTATTTGTAGTAATAATTAAACAACAGGTGCAGATAAAATGTGTTGTGAACCATTGCTGTGTTTTCATGTACAAAGTTGTGGCTACTATATCGTAGAAAAATAAATCGCCCCATTAAAACATTATCCAGTTTACTGGTTTTCAACCTTCTTTTCCCCTCTGCTAAGTTAAGGTCCTTCTTCCCATCACTGCTCTCACAGATGCGTGAGTGTTTCTGTTCTGATCTGTTCCAAATCACTGTAATATAATTCACTGTGTCCTCTCCCACCAAATGAATGTGGTCATTTACAATTATCTATCCCTCTTCAATTAAAAGAAAGTAAAAGACAAAAAGCCTCCACCCTCACCACCCCCCAAGAATGCAACAAACCAACCTAAATAACGTTGTGCAGTTTGTCATGACCGTGACTCAGTCCAGCCTCATCCTCCTCCACATTTTGCCTTTCCTGTTCAACCACATTTGTCCTTCACCCTTAACCTAGGCCTTCCCTCCTTATTTAGTCTGTGTGCCCTCTGTCTACACAGAGATATTATAGGGAATTGCTTCCTCCCTTAAGCTTGAAGTCCAATTCTTCATAGGCTGTGCTCAAACCAGCTTAATCTTAAAGAATAGACTGAGGGGAGGCCTTATCTTTCTCAACAGCCACCTGAAAGGAGGTTGTAAGGAGGTGGATGTTGGTCTGTTCTACCGGTAACTGGTGATAGGACAAGAGGAAATAACCTCAAGTTACGTCAGGGGAAGTTTAGATTAGTTATTAGGAAAACCTCCTTCACTGAAAGAGTGGTCAGGCATTGGAACAGGCTGCCCAGGGAAGTGGTGGAGTCACCATCCCTGGAGGTGTTCAAGGAATGTGTAGACAGGGTACTGGAGGACATGGCTTAGTGGGTATGGTAGTGTTGGGCTGATGGTTGGGCTGGGTGAGCTGATAGGTCTTTTCCAACCTTAGTGATTCTATCTTTGGTAGTATACCACCAGAGAGAAAGCATAACCCTGCCTGGGGGTTCTTTTGTTTTTCCTGTGGGGTTTGAAGTCTCATTCCTTCTGTCTCATCTTACTGCTGCAGAAAGAGACAGTATGGGGCAAAATTTAAAATGTTTTTCAAAAAACTTTTCTTTTTCCTTAATACTTTTCTGAGCCTAATGACAGCCTCATAAAGGCTCTTCTGTGTCTCAGCAGCAACTGACAGTAGTATACCAGGAATAGATGCCAAGGCAAGGGTGGAGCAGGGTAGTGCTAGTTTCTTAGAACAGTTTCCCAACGCTTAACCTTTTTTGTATTCAGTAGTTTGTCTGTTAGGTTTTTATTCTTTCCTAGTTATGCAGAACTATTATCCACAGCATCCTGCTGTGGAGTTTTTTTGCCATCTGTTTCCATTTAATGACAAAACAACTAACGGTATTTTTAATATACATTTAGAAAACAGCTTAATTTTTTTTAACAATAGATTAAAGTTAACAACTAGAATAACATCTAATAAATTTTAAAATTCAATAATAACTAAAAGAAAAAAAACCCACCTGACCCCTGTTAAAAAGATAAAACCTGAATTCTGCTAGCCATTTGGCTGTAGCACAGGTTGGGACTATTCTGTAGACTGAACTGCTCTCATTTTCCATCCCAGTGTCCTCGTCAAGTTATGAGAGGTAGAGACTAAAACCAGATGGACTATATTAAAATTTCTTCCTCTTCCTCCTTTCTTTCCTGCCTGAAATTTAATTGGTACTTCAACAGGCAAGTTCAGTCTCCAATTTGAAAATCATTTGGTTGACCAAACTTAATGAGATTATTGAGTTTACTTGTATTTAGCAAAGCTTGAAACTGCTAATAAACTTAAAACTAATCTTGTTTTTCAGACTGAAAACCTAGAGAATATAACAACCATACCAGATATCAGATTACATAGCAACCCTTCAGCTTTTAATGTTTACTGCAATGTCCGCCATTGTGTGTTGGAGTGGCAAAAAAAGGAAGCATCTGTATCTTTGGCTTCAAAGAACAGTGTTCAGAGTGGGGATTCAGACAGTGATGAAGAGGAGGAATCCAAAGAACCACCTATTAAACTTCCAAAGGCAAGTAACTGCGTACTGTTTAAAGTGTGCCACATGCGTGATCTTAAGTTGTGTGTTCTTTGTGGGGAGTGAAGAACAGCATTATAAGCCAGCTGCTCAGAAAATAGCTATAGTTGTATATGTAGTCCATCTAGTCCAGAATCATCTGATTTGATGAATTAGAAAGATCTGTGTACCTGCTCAGTGCTCAGTAATTAATTCTGAAGTTAATTAAATATTAGGTAAATGTTCAACTCGCACTCCTTTGTAAGTTCTGGTACTTGAAAATAACCTACAGCCTCAAAAGCCACAAAGTGCAAATGAAGCAGCTCTTAATCTGTCAGAGGCTACTAGCTGGTATGGTGAAGGTGCTTTCTTCTTACTTTACCCCCCGAAAAGAATAAATCTTTCCGCTACTGAAATTCAGTTGGTGGAGTGTTTCCTGAGATGATCTGCCAGGTATATGTGTAATTGCAGTATCTGGCAATTATTTTTACTCCCTTATTTCTTTTATCTTTCCCCTTTTTGCTTCAGTGCCTTTTGGCACTACTAACTATAGGCAGTAATACACATTAAGATTTTGGATGCTAGTGTTCAACAGTTAGGGTAGTTTCTTCAGTATTTACTGCTTCTGTGCTTATACTAGGATCAATGGTGGAAAGTCATAAATAATCTATGTAGGAGTTACTCATTTTTTTCTTTTTTTAATTTGCTGATTCAGTTTGATGCTGTGACTTCTGTGCATTGTTATGTTCATTGCTAGCTTATTAATGCTATGAATCGTGTTTCCTTTTGTTGTTATTCTCAGTCTAAAAAGCATATTAAGAGTAACTTTGTGTTTGCAGCAGTGATTATGTAGAACATTCTAGTTGCTTAGAAAACTAGAGTTTTATGGAAAATTCTGTTTAGGTAGTACTATCTGAAAGGCAGAGTTGGTACTCTGGAAATAGTGGTGAAGAATTGCAGAGGAACGTAACCAGGTCAGGTAACTGAAATTTCGGGGTTGATAGTTGCTATATAATGTGCAGTCAGTAGAAATAAAGTTAGCAGTGTTTATGAACTGCATCTGACTCCTTGTGGATTATATCAGATTAATCAGCAGGTGCTTGTAGATGCTTAGTTTGAAATTTTAAGTAATGGTATGGAAACCCTGGGTAGGAAACTACTTTTCCTTTCTTAAACAGCTCACTGATTTTCTGGTTTGTTACATTTAATACAGCAAATATAAAATTGTTGAAAATCAGTATGCTTTCAAACTGTTAGTTTTTAGTAAAGAATATACGAAATACCAGAGTTCAAGAATTTTTACTGATTCAACAATGGGTTAGATGCTTGGTATAACCTCTATTTTTAGTAACTATCTAACTAATATTGGATTGCTTAGTTCCCTCTAAGGTAAGATGCTATTAATTTCACTTGCTTTCATACATTTGAAAAAGGCATCCACATGGAGCTGTCTCACAGGTAGTAAAACTTGTAGAGGCCAACTTTGGAAGTATCTTTGTAGCCTGAATATAGGTGTCTGCTTCATGCTTTGATTATGTTATGGTCTGGTTCTTGGGTATAATGAACAATATTGACTTGGGCTCAGTTGGTTGAATATAAAGAAGAAAGTTACTGAATTTTTGAAGGCTTACAACATTTACTAGACTAGTTTCTGAAAGTAATAGTTACCTTATTAAAAAAAATACTCAAGTCTTTGAAGTTTGGCAAAGTCTAATTCAAAGAGGTACAACAGTGATTTGTGATTTTCCATATTCTGCAGTTAAACTGAAGTCAGTCCTTTCACTGTGGTTTTTTGTTCACAAAAAGTCTTCATTTAATTGAGAATAAGTTGAAAACAGCCTACTTCTTATCCACCTTAGATGTTCTATTGCAGTTACCTTTTTTTTTAAATCTTAAACTTGAGGAAGTGAAGTTTATTAGAGCTTTATTTATAATGCATTGCAGAATTCAAAGTTGTCCTATGCAATTTCTATAATAACACTGAGAACAATTGGTTTTAAAAATTGTTGAGACATACGCAATTTTCTGGTCTTCAGCTATTAACACAATAAAGTTTATATTTTGGTTTTTTAGACAGTTTAGTAACTTGCTTTTGATAGCTTTAAATTTTTTGATTTACATGAAATATTTGCCTTTGCCTGACTTAGTTATTTAGTACCTTATTTAGTAACTCTGCTAATGATGGGTAATTATTCCCATTTGAAATAAGGCAGTTTCACTTCTGATTTGATTTGCACTTGCTCCCCACCCCAACTATTAAACTTTGGGTTATGGATGATCCACCAATGCCCTGTACTAAAAAGAACAGATGCTGGATTAAGGTGGAATTAACTGACTAAATATTCTTTGTTCCTGCAGTGGCATACATTCTGCTGTTTAGCTAATGAGCTTAAGCAAAAATTAAAATTTAAGTTGTAACAAAAAAAATTAAAGAAAAATAACTATTTTCTTTAGAAGCTGACTATTTTATAATTCATTAGGAGAATGTGTTACCTGTGTAAACTATTTTTCTGTATGTATATAATATAAACTAATGTGGAGAATTAAATATGAAGAGAATTATGTATCCTTAAATAAACACAGAAATACGTGTATTGAGGCAATTATGAGAAAAACAAGACAAAGGAAATAAGACAGCAGTGTAAATAAAACTTTTTGAAGAAATAAGGGGGGTTGGTGGGAATTAGTTATGGGTCATAATGTCTGTATCCAGGCTAGAATTCTGTTCAGTCTTCATAAAACGGGCTTATGCTTTTGATCCGAAGTCTCAAAGATGTTGCAAAGGGAGTGGGAGGATGGCTGCGTGGAGAGCATCAGTAAGAGCTGGCAGGCTGTGACACAGACGGAGGCTGCATCAGTGCTTGTTTTTGGCTCATGGACCATTCAGAGAGCAGCAAGAACAAGCTTCAGCTGCCTTGAAAAGAGCTGTTTGCTTATTCTGTCCTCCTGTTCATAGTTTGGAGCAGTTGAGAGATACACACTTTTCTTTTTCATATATATATAATATATATGCACATATACATTAAGGTGAAGAGACCTGTTCTGTGAAGACTACCTAGACTGTTGTTCTCAGATACTAAAAAAACCCAACCCAGAACCTGTGCAGATTAAGCAAAATCCCGGCAGAACTATCCATTGCTTATTCCTGCTATAGTGAAAGTTCACCAAATTATTTTCTCCACTGCTAGGTTCTCTGCTTTCTCCAGCTGCTTCTGTCAGCTGCTAGATGAAGATTTCTGTATCAAGACTGGCAAGAATAGAATAAACTTCTGTTTCTTTCAGAGATACTATCACTGAAAAGAAAGTGTATTTCTAAAAATGTACTACATTCTATTTTATTCTTTAGCCTGTAAGATAATGCTGAGTTTTGGATCCTGGGAAAAACATCTGTGCTGTTATTTTGCTGACAGTTTTTTTCCCCCCTGTAAATTCCATGCTTGTGTTTTCCCCTACTCCACTGAAGATATGAAATGTAAGGTGTAGCTTGCAGGAAGATTGCTGTTGCACCTTGAAGACTTCATTTGATTATGTTTCTTTTCTTCTTCCAAAAATCAAAAAGGTGGTATAATAACTTCTGAAAGACAGGAATCAAGTAAATTGAATGGCAGCAAAGACAGTTACAAGGCATCCAGTGGAACATATAGCTGACTGACAGAATAAATATGCATTAAGCATGAGTTGCAGTTCACGTATTTTATGTATTTTTATTTTTTAGTCTTTTTTTCTTAGATTTTACTCAGGTGTGAATCGATTTGTAACTCTAAACACTGCTCCTGACAGGAACACATAGTGAAGTTTTGAAGATATGGTTGCTGATTTGTAACGAGTTAACCCTGTTCATTTGTCTTTCATCCTCATCATTATTACATGCTGGGTTTGAGAAGGAAGTGAAAAGAACAGTCAGTGGAGGGAAGCACAGTTGTAATATCAGAATATTCAGGAATGCTAAAAGGGGAAGTTAAGAGCGACTGTAACAGCGTTCTTATAGATATTGTATTCGTTGACATAATGCATGTCTGTGATGAGTACATACAGAGTTTCAGTGGCAAGTAATTAATATTTATTTTTTATATTGTCACAAGAACAATCTCAGAGGCTTTGAAGGAGGGAAATAATAGTGCTGCCAATATCACCTGTCAAATGTATTATTAATCTAGTTGGGAAGTCAGGTTGCGAGGCAGTTCTGGCTTGGTGGTTCACATGAAGCAAGGAAAAATGTCTGTCAAAGTGTGAACTCGATAGAAATTACAAGGGCTCAGAGGCACAGTTTGTCTTACATTGTCCAAAAAAAGATTGATTCCTTATTTTTTTTTCTGGGAACTATTATTCTGCTTAGATATGCTCTTTCATATAATGGTAGTACTTATGTGTAATACTTGCTAGTACAGTTCTGTAGGTGGGTTCCTGATTTTGAGCCTCTTCTGAATTACTGTTGTATTCTGGATTACATTTTTGTTATCCAAATAAGTGTCTTGCTCTGTGAACATTGGGATATACCTTTATAAGATGAAGATCCCAAAACCACTATATTAACAGAACTTTTGAAATATCTGTACTTCTTTAGATCATTGAAGTTGGATTATGTGAAGTCTTTGAATTGATTAAGGAGACAAGATTTTCTCATCCATCCTTGTGTCTCAGGAGCCTACAAGCCCTACTTAATGTGCTTCAGGGCCAGCAACCAGAAGGACTACAGTCAGAGCCTCCTGAAGTCCTAGGTAATATCTGTTACTGTATTTGTATGAATAAACATCTGCTTTTGTATTGGACAGAAGGAAATAGTTCCTAGCAAGTATTTGTGAGATAATAACGTGCTTTATCTCAACAGACTGACTTCGTTCTGGAATTTAAACTCCTTATGGTGTATGTAACCAGTACTTTCTCAGCATTAATCTTTTGTAGAACAGGAATGTTGGCATAGTAAAGTATGTGTGTATATATATCTCAAAAGTTGTATTTTATTGCTGTGTAATAGAGTTTCACTGAAATGTCATAAACCTTACACACTTAAAAATTGTGATGCTTTTGTCTTACTGAAGGTATAAAATACTTGGTCTTACTAGAAAGAAGTTCTCTTGATATCTGCTATTGTGATATATAGCTTAGCTATTTAATGTTGTAATTTACATAAAGCTGCTACACGAAGTGTCAGAATCATTGTTTTATTTCTTCTGGCCATCCTAAAATTTTCCTGAAAAATTCATTTTGCTTTCAGTGATACTAAAAATAAAAATTGAATTCCAAATGGGCTTGAGTGTATGATTATGTCCTTTAAGTCCAAATCCAATTATCTTTTGTTAATTCATAGTTTTTACTGGTTGATAGAACTGTAAGGAAAGCTAGGCTGTAGCATCTGTTGTTTAAAAATAAGTCTTAAGACTTTCTATGTATATTTTCCTATGTTATGACTCAACAGTATTCTATTTCCAATTATGATGATTTGCTACAGAAAGCTTTTATTTTTTATTGATACACAGAGTATTTAAAAGCTACAAAGAGGGCTTTGTTGTGATTACTTCCTTAGTGATTATTTGTGTATGCTATAAAAAAAATTGAGGTGGATTTCTGTTCACACTTTGGTTGTGAAGATGTTCAGCTGCTAAACAGTGCTTGAAAAAGACACATACAATCAAAATAATTTTCAAGCTTTGATTTGAAGTGCTTGTTTCTGAGAAATGGGATGTGCTTCAACATGAGTGATGGTCATAAAGATTAGACAAGGTTGGTCAAGACCTACTCACTATCTCAGTGCTGAGGTAGACTGAATAGGCAGGTAAATGGGCCTACTCACCCATTTCTTGTGTTCCACTGTAACAGAAGGACTTAGTTTTTCTTGTTCTCTGTCCATTGTGATTATCAAGGTTCAGAATTTCTGGTTGAAAAAGAATGAGGAGTTAACGATGTTGTAGGCCTACCTAAATGGGATGCTTTCCTTTTTGTCTGGAAATAGAGCTAAACTTAATGGCTGTGGAAAGATGTATCACGTATTTTTTAAGTTTAATTTCCCATTGACTGGCAAATTGCTTGATACGATTTTGTGACTTGTCTATGTAATTGCTGTGCTTTATCTGCAGAATCCCTGTTCCAGCTTCTTCTGGAGATAACTGTCCGTAGCACAGGAATGAATGACAGTACAGGACAGTCCTTGACAGCACTTTCCTGTGCTTGCCTCTTCAGTTTGGTAGCCGCGTGGGGAGAGACAGGAAGAACGTTGCAAGCAATCTCTGCTATCCTCACCAACAATGGCAGCCATGCTTGTCAGACAATTCAGGTCTTGCACTAAAACTTCTCTGTATCTGGAAATTTGTGTGAATGGTGTGTGCATGAGTTCTGAGAAGACCTATGGGTAAATTCAGTTAACTTTTCCCCTCACTATGTTTGATGTAAATGTAGGTATTTTTGTCTCTCTTGAGCTGGAGATAGAACAGAAAATACATGTAAAAAATAGTCATGGTTTTCACTCACTATTTCTCTTAACTGTTTAGGTGCCAACTATTTTAAACTCTCTTCAGCGGAGTGTACAGGCAGTTCTGGTGGGCAAAATCCAAATCCAGGACTGGTTCAGTAATGGGATAAAGAAGGCAGCCTTGATGCACAAATGGCCATTGAAAGAAATCTCTGTCGATGAAGATGACCAGTGCCTACTTCAGAGTGATGGTTTTTTCCTCTATCTCTTATGTAAAGATGGACTTTACAAAATTGGCTCTGGATATAGCGGGACAGTGAGGGTAATGTTATTTCTTCTTGTCTGATGAACAATAGTTAGTATTTTAGCTTTTATGATGTCCTGTTTCCATTGGGAATGTTTTGTAGGTTACTAGTGATCAGTTCCTTCACAGTTTGTTTAAATTTTTCTGATGATTTCGGAGAATTTTACAACATTTTCTTGCAATTTTCACCTCTCAGTGTGGTTGAAGACATTGTTACTTAGATGGTAAATGATTGTGTGTGAAGCTGTCACTCTGATATTTGTTAAATGATTGGAATTTTTTTGCTTTTCAGGGTCATATATACAATTCTACATCCCGCATCAAGAACAGAAAGGAAAAAAAGTCTTGGTTAGGCTATGCTCAGGTAGGTGAATACTTAAAATTTGCCCCCCATCGCTCATGAGTAGTTGAAGTACACCTTGGCTTAGAGTAAGCTTACATGGATATTGTGTTGTTCTTTTGGCTTTAGTTATAACATCAAGATTTTGGTACTGACTGTTAAACTGTGGAAATGAGAAACGTCTCATGGTACTGGCATATAGAAAGGAGTAATGAAAGATGTCATTGCTTTGTGTTGTTATTGTAAGACTGTGAAAATATGATGGCTTAACATGTACATTTATTAATTGTACAGTCACTTGATGTGTGCTTCTTAAATAATGAAGTCGCAGGATCTGAAAATCAGCTGTTGCAACAAAATAGTGTAAAAAAAAAGTTTGAAATATCTATTTATGGAAATAAATTGATTTGAAAACATTTGCAATAAGGAAGTACTGTTTTGGCTGGGGGAGGATTGAAGGTAGTGTGTAAGCTCTAAGTAGAGGTAATTGTTGATGTTACCACTGCAGAGTTAACTGTATTTGAAGGATTTGCTTTTCAGACTTAGTCAGTTTCTGGAATATCAACCACCTTTTCTTATACTTCTGCCATTCATTATCAAAATAGTGTATTTTTTTAGAATCTTGTTATTATCACTAAGTGCTCTCTCTGAGAGGAAAACCAAAAACCATATGCACCAAACACCACCCCCCAACACCCCACCCCCATTAAATTTTGAAGAATAATGAATTTGCTTCATTTTTTAACTACTGAGCAATTATTTACTACTGAGTGCTCTCATTGTCGCAGTGTGAAGTTGTGTTCCATGCTTCTGAAGTTAAATTGTTTATTAGGAATATATATTCTAATATTACAGTTACTATATATACACATATACATGAAATCTGGTTTTGTTTACTATTAAAACAGATCAGCAAAACACATACTGGTACAATACAAGTGTGTGCAGATAGATTTATTCAGGAGCCCATTTCATCAGTTTACCAAGAAATAGGATCCATATAGAGGATGGATAGGATCCATTCCCTATATAGAGTTACACATTTGGACATTCCGTACATAGCTGTGACTATACTTGATGAGGTTCTTTGAGTGCTTGCATAGGTGTACGCATGCACGCAGTGACTTTACCCAAAGGCACTGCTAGTTGGAAAAACATCAGTCTGGGGCTATATTTATAGGAAAATGTGTAAATTGCATTTATTGCTAAATATGTGTCCATAAAAGAGGCAATATGTGCCCTCAGCCTCATTTCCCTTCAGGTGCTTGATTAAGTCAGCTCAAATTCAAGTGATTTTTCTTGCTTCATCGTATAAGTTATTTTAGACTGAATGTTATTTACTTACTTTTCTTAGTTTGTGTGAGTTTGGTTTTCTTCATTTCACAGACACTGATTTATCCAGGAAAACTCAAGTAGTTTAGACATAAGGAATAGAGTTGGTTGGATTTTTCTGTTGTTAGATGATTGTAATTAGGGTCTCTGACGCTTTGATGAATGAAGATATTCTGAGGTTAAGCCTTAGTGACCTCCCTGTGTAACACGTTCATTTGTAGATGTGTAGAATCCCCTCCTGAGGCCAGTTACCCTTCAAGCAAGGGCAAGCTGTTGTCATCTCTCCTGCTATGACACTGCTGTTGTCAAATTATTGATCTTTATTCGTACTGGCCTGTGCAACCCTCCTGTGGGCAAATACTCCTTCGCTTGGTGTCAGTCACCTTGAATGAATGTGTTCATAAGTGCCCTTAAGTAGGATTTTTCCTTTCCTGTAGCTGCTTTTATAGAGTGTATCTCAGTGTATATTCTCCAACTTTGTTTCTACCGTTCTCTCTCAAAATCTTTGAAGGGTTCACAGGTATTGTAGGATCAAAAAGATAGGAGAGCAAAGGGACCATATTGCCTCTCTTAGGGATCTGTGCACATTTTACAAACGTGGAGGCTTATGCACTGTCTAGTTTAAGCTAAAGCAAAACTTACTTGACAGTATTAAAAGGCGCACTCGAAGTTACAGGTACAAACAGTAAACCTGAAATGTGAGTTTCAGCTAGGCGAATCTTTCTACTGAGATACCTAAAGTGGTCACTGAATCAAACCTTCAAAATATGCATATGAACAGAAAGAAGATATTTTATCATAGGAGACTTCTTGCTGTGGGCCAGAATACATAATTTGGGGGATATGAAGGTGTTCTGCACACAGGTAAACAAAAAGAGGAAATCATTAGTCTTGACTATCTTCCTTCCCCTAGGTATTGTTAGGAGGTGAGCAGTGTGAGAACTCATTGTATGTAACCTTGTGCCATGGCTGGTGTAGCTAAAATCACCATATACTTGGTGGAAATTTCTTTGGGCTCAGAAAGAATAAATACATGGGATCTTGTCAGTGTGGGCATAAAATTAATTAGCATTTTTTTAAACATTCCCTAGTTTTTAATGCACATATTAATATTCATTAATGATCACTCCTCCATATAGGGCAATATATATATCTCCTTCCTGGAATAGCTGTGAATCTTTTGTTTATTTGTAAAGTGGGGACAAGAACCTTGGTTTTTGCTTTGGCTTTTAACTGTAATTGTATACACATATGAAGAAGAGAATTACTGCATGTTGACTTCAAAAGCTGTGTATGAGCTTAAGCCTGCTAAAAATGTCAAAAGGGTGGAGGAAGGGCATCAAATTTCTGGGTTTTATTGCAGAATTTTATAAGTACAAAAAAGTTAATTATAAAAATGAAGCAAGTTTAATGTAAAAGGTTTCCAGAATTTTTAAACAATACCTAAAATAATGATTGCATTTTTTTTACACTTTTGACAATTTCCTTTGTTGTATTTAAGAATATTTTCATACCAATATATATATTCTTACTCCTACCAGGGTTATTTATTATATAGAGATGCGAATAATCACAGTATGACAGCCGTAAGAATAAACCCTGAAACTTTGGAACAAGACAGTACAGTTGCTTTGCCAGGTATGAACCTCCAGATATGAGAAGATGGTTATAGTTTACTGTTTACATGCTATGTATTTTCAGGTAAGCAGAAGAGAAATTGAGATAGATTTTTGAGAGCACAGGGAGACTGCTTTTTTATGTCTTTGGTTTGCTGCATTAGGCCAGCTACAGTATTTCATTCAGAGGCCTTGCATCTTACTCCAACTGCTGGAAGAATATTGCAACGTTTTTGGGATGTATGGTCATCTTAATTTCAGGACTTTAAGAGCTTAACTCCCTTCCTAAGGAATTTTTATTTCTTCCTCATTTGAACTATGAGCATTTGGCTTAGATATGACTTTGTTTCCAGTATCTCTTACATGTAGGTAGTTACAAACTGTGACCAAAGCCATTTGGTTTTAAGTATAGGTAGAAATGTATCCAAAAAAATGAGGCTAATGAACACTGACGGACCATGCTTCTGATGTGTAAATTGGTGGTGGGTTTTTGTTTGGGTATTTTTTTTGTGTAGTTTTGTGGTTGTTTGGCTGTTTTGTTTGAATTTCTGGTTTTGGAGAATAGTCTCGTAACTTGTTGCTGGAACATATTTTAATGGCCTCCTGGTGAAATTAATCTGTTCTTAGCCACTTAGTTCACTTCACATGAACAGTACAAGGGCATAAGGATATCTGTCGATTGAACAATGACAGGAGTATTCTGTAAATCAGAAGAAAGATTTTGGTTTGCATCCTGACATAAATAAGAAGGAACTGACTGAAACCTCAGAATAATTTTCTAGCCTTTTTCCATTTCAAACACAAGCAGTAATTTTTGAAGAAACTGTGAATGTAGAATACAGTATATGGAACTTTCTGCAAGTCCTTAAAATGTGGATGTCTCTTTAAGCTGCTTGGTCTTTGTGAAGCTGTATGAAAAATTTGAGTGAGAGGACGTTCAAGGACCTGGCCAATTGCCTTGTAGGATTGTTTTTCCACTTTCTTCACCTCAAGGCAGCTTCTTCAGACAGTGGGTCCTTTGAGGTGCTTAATTACGTTACCATTGGTAAACAAATCAGTGCCCTCCATGCAAGTCCTGAGAGGCACTTGAGCACATTTAAAGTCTACATCTCTGAGCTGTTAGCTTTCTTTTGCAGAACTCAGTGACAAGTATCATTCTGCAAGACAGCCTTGTGTTTGTACTATAAAAGGGCACAAATTAAGCAAGGGTATGCCTTCAAAGCAAAAATGTGTTAATATTTCAGTGCAAAAGCAAATCTTATAACCGTGGGAATACCGGTTCAGAAATGCCTCTGTTTCACACAACTGCACTTTATGTCATTTGTGATAGTGTCAAAGTGGATGCTAGGTGCTCTTCATAACTACTACCCTTTGTATTTCAGCCCTTGAACTTTGGTGTACTACTTTTTGCACTTCTACACATTTATCTCAGCATTATATTGTGGGCATATAAGGCCTTGTTCTTTTGGCCTGGCCAAATACAAAGAGGGCCACTTCTGATTATTTCCGTTTCCCACTAGAAGGAAAGAAATTAAGGGGCAGGGGGAGGGTATGTGGCTTGTCCCGGGGAAACCTGAGTAGGTACATAACTCTAAATAGTAGTAGCTGCCCCCCTGTAATCTTAATAATGATTTGCAGTATGTTGTAGTTCTGAAAAACCACACCGGATAGAACTGTAGGGCAGTAACCTTGCTAACAGCTGAACACTGATGTGACTCCAGCAATTTCCTCCTAGTTGGTATGGTGTTCAGACAAGGCTCTATCTGGAGTTAATCTCTTTCAAATGCCTGGGTTGGTGATAATACATTCAAATAAGGCATTCATATTTATTCATAGAGAGATGTGTAGGAGATTAGGATTTCATTAGGTTATGAGATTAGAAGTTGAGCCTTGCTAGAAGTCATGTGACCTTAGAAAACTCATTGAACTATGGAACATTATCTTCTCCTTTCTCAGACAGTAGGATCCACCAGCTTCTTGAAACCATGAACTTCTATTTCAAAGGCTCATCTTTCTGCTCTGATAGATGATCTAGCAAATCTGACAATGTATCTGCAACTTCCAGAGTGTGTGTCAACACTCTTGTCTTTAGTGCCTTGCCCAACTTTGTACAATGTCCCTGAGCTGTGGATCTTTCTTCCTAGTCTAAATATTATAAAAGAATCCCAAAGTTCTATGCGATTTTCTAGGTGATTGGACCTGAATTTACAAAGGAGGTTTTCATCTTGACGGTTTCCTTAACAGTAATGCTTACTACGTATCTGACAATGCTTAAATAAAGGGTGCTGTGTACAGTTGAAGAGGTTGAAGTTATATGGTGTGTGGTTTCGTTGTTCTTTTAAATTACACATTAATATCTTGGAGCTCAGGACTATTCACTTAGTCGGAAAAGTACTGCTAACCGAGACTGGGCTAGAGGAGCTCGAGTACTTGTTAGGAGGCACAGGATACACTATGCAAATATGGAAGGTGATGCTTTGCAGTCATTTCGTCTTGAAGCCTCTTAAGGAGGCTGTGATTAACAGGTAGCTGTACTTCTGTCCTTTAAAGCATAAGCCATTTCTGTTATAGTAATCCCCAGACAGAAACCTTGGATATCTTTGTCCCACAGTAATTTACAAAGTCGGACTGAATAAGACTACAGTTGATCGTAAGAGCTCCTTGCTAACTGAGACACTATACTATCCTACTCTTTGAAGAGATTCCATTTGCCTTCCAATTCCTACTCCATATCAATTTGATATTTAATGCTGGGCCTGGATGTTATCTAATCCAGTGCTAATTCTTAGGAGTTCTTCCGAAGAACATTTTTTTTTTTTTTTTTTTTTAAAGCATCCGGGTTCCGTATTTCCTGTGTGAACACACCTACCAAACACATAAACAACCCCCAAAAAGGTTTACTGGGAGGTTCTGCTCTTGAAATGACTCAAGAAGTAGGCCAAAAGTCAGTGGTGGCCAGAATATCCTTTGTCCTTCACATTATGCTTATGTGAGCAAGTAATTTTCAGCCATTTAAGGAATCGTAATACTTACCAACTTCCTATAACCTTTCAGAAATGTCACTGACATTATTTTTGGAATTTGTGTTCAAGTTATTGACAACCCTTTTGTTTTATTGCTAATACTGCTTTGCAGCATAGAGAGTTAGTAACATGAACCAACTTGGGTCATTGAATCCCAGTTTATTTTTGAGAGCGCAGTATTTCAAAATTCATTATGTCTGCCATTCTCCATCCTGCTTGCTGCTTATCCACTTTGTGTTTCATATCTGTGTGTGCTCTAAGGGGCAGGTTGTCTACATCTGTTGCTTTAAGATGTGAGAATTAGAGAAGGCCACCTAACACATATTCTGTTCCTGGTAAGAGATTAGATTGGGCTGGGCTGTACAGGAAAAAGTAAACAAGTTTATGGGTTTGTGAATAACATGGGTTGTTTTCAGCTATATTATTTTAAAAATAACCACCCTGCTGGTTATGACAGAAGGATATTATGTGTGCTTCATTTAGCATTAAATTTGTTAGATAAAATGGGTAATAACCAGATCTTTGTTCAGGTTATGAAGCAGATATTTAGAGTGTCAAGTAGCTGTCCTGTATTACTTTTTGAAGGGGTCTCTTTCCTCTGTGCAATCAATGAAACAAGCACTTTACAAGCCATATCATATCAGTCTTTTTAGTAACTCCATCAGCAGAGCAGGAAGGGAAGAAGAGACAGATTAGGGACATGCTTTTTTTTAAGCTTGTAGAGAAAGTGGTCTTTTTTCCCCAGACATGGGCAAAATTCTCTAGCTGACCTCTTTTCAATAAACGTGTGTTATAAAGTATACGCTTTTTAAGTTTTCCAAAATCCTAGATTTTCAGTTAATAGTTTGGTGAAATTTATAAATAATGGAAAAATGAGATGAATAATAAAAAGTTTGTTTCTGTTTCATTTATGTCTCTAGGTTTTATATGCTGGATTGAGGAAACTTTTCTTAAAAGATAATGACCCTTTAAACAAAAAAGTCTTTGGGGAATGAGAAAGACTAACACTCCCAGAAAATTAGATTTTAGTTGTATTGTAATAGTTTAGAGTACCCCTCATGGGTGAATACTAAATGCTTCTGCAGTTAAATATTGTGGTAATGCCTTACATTTCTTACAATGGAAAATGCTTTAATAACTCTTAAAGGGACAAGAGAGTATTATATGCTGCTTCTAGTGAGAAGTGATCCTAGCATAAAATAATGTGTTATCGGAGCACTGTGATCTCTCTTTAGAAAAACTAGAACTCTCGTAGGGTGATTGTAGTGGGAATGGGAATGAGTCAGAAACACAGAAGAGTGTATGTATGTTAATATAAACTGATGAAGTGCACTTCATATTTCTGTCGCAGATTGTCATACCGAAGGGCAGAATATCCTCTTCACTGATGGAGAATACATTAATCAAATAGCAGCATCTAGAGATGTAAGTGTTACATGTGATGGGTAAAGTATTTTTCTCTCAACTGAATTACTTTATTTTACAATACCTACAGCTTCCTTTCTGCTTAGTGTTTGGCTTTTTCTTTACTGCCACAACTAAGGAAGAAATCTGCGTAACTAGAGATAACAAGAAACTGCCATGTTTGTGCATAATGGAACAGTATTTTGGCGTTTATCCACACAATTTTGATTTACGATGGATATTTCAGATTTTTTAAAATTTTTCAGATAGGTTTTAAGAAAAACTATTGCGCTTTCTGAGGGAAAAAAACTTATAAATGGAATAATGACTTTTTAGCATGTTATTGTACAGGATCTCTGTGGGATAAGCTGCCTAGAGCTTAACTATAAGCTATAATTTTTTCTAATTTAATTTTCTGTAACCGCTTTGGTACTTGTTGGGGAACTTCAACCAGATTTAATAAAATAGGTGGGAAAGAAACTACATTCTAATAGATTTTTATATGAAAATTGTCTATTAGCCAAAACTCTGGAAACCCAAGTAAGTGGTTCTACTAGGGGCAAAACACTTTTAACTGTTCTATATTTTGTTCAGACAGTTATTCCGTTCTTCTGGACTGGTCAGTGTTTTTTGACAGTGGGAAGGCTGTAAAAGAAGGATGGGACAGGGCTGGGTTGAGACAGGGTTGGCAGGAGATGCCAGACATACAACTATGAGAAAACCAGGATGGAGCCATTTCTCTACTAACAGAACATGGGCAGATGAAGATAAACTGCATGCAGAATTTGGGGTTCTGAATCAGGAGAAGTGAAGGCTTAAAAGATAAATGCAAATAGCTATAAAAGTGAGATTTCTATAATGAGATTCAGAGAATTATTTCTATAGCAATTGACTGTTTTCATAGTGCTTTCGTAGAATTCAGTATATGTTTAAGGTCTTTAAGGTGCTTATCTTCAGCACATCCTGTTTGGCACTTTTTTCTCCTCTGTAATAAATGTTACTTTATCAGTGTGTCCTCTGATAATCTACTCTGAAGTAGTATATACTGATGCACTGAGGCCATGAAAAGTAAACAATTGTATTTACTGTACAGTATAAAGTAGAATCATTTATTTATTTATTTATCGCAGGATGGCTTTGTAGTGCGAATATTTGCAACGAGTACGGAGCCAGTACTGCAACAAGAACTGCAGCTTAAGCTTGCAAGAAAATGCTTACATGCCTGTGGCATTTCATTGTTTGATCTGGAGAAAGACTTGCACATTATCAGTAAGTCCCCTTCTTTGAAGGTTAATCACAAGCTAGTAATTCAAATAATACAGCTGAAACACTGCCCTTCCCTTTGTTTGCCTTTATTATGTGCAGGAAGGTATAGCTCCATGATAAAAATGTAGAGACGTACAAGGTTTTGAAGCTGCTTATGTGTAACCCATACACTCATTTTGTATTACTGCTGTCTGTAGCACTAGCCATGGTTTTCACGTATTTTCTGCTAGTTGTGTAAGACATATATAATTGCTTTAAGCTTGGGCTTCATAATACTGCTCTTATAATGTGTGGTTAAGATATAAAACTCCTTGCTGTGGGTTAAAGTTAACAAAAGTTAAGAGGACTGCTGGCTGGATTAATGGAAAGGTAATGCACTGAAAGATGACAAATACATGGAAACCACCTTTGCATCAGAATTTGAGATGCAAAAGTGTTAGTGTCTACAAAAGTATTTTTGAGAAATATCACTCAGCATTTGCTCTGGGGTTTTTATCTCTGTTAAGTGTCCGCTTTTGGCACTGTCAGAACAAAAGCATACTGGGCTACATGGCCTTTTTCTCTGACAAAGTGCAGTTGTTCTTAGGCTAGTGCTTTCTTCTTTGAACAAATCTGCCAGGTCTAGCCCAGTAAGCCGCCTTGTGGCAGCAAAACTTTCTTTCACTTGTAACTTTCTAAGAAGCTTTATGACAAACTGTCCCTGGCAGAGTTAGGTCTGTAAACTCTTGTGGAACTGCCTAGTAAACTGTCCGGTTAACACAATCTTCCTCTAACAGGTACAGGGTTTGATGAGGAATCAGCTGTCCTCGGTGCTGGAAGAGAGTTTGCACTAATGAAAACTGCTAGTGGAAAGGTACTGAAAATGTTCTGTAGTAAACAGGAAATTACATCAATATATTTCTACGTGTTTTTTTAATTTAAATATTATTTTCCATTTTTCCTTTTTGCCCTTCAAATATGTTAGAATTATGTGACTGTGTTTAGGTATGTTTTCAGACCACACTTTAAAGGGAAAAAGGCAAATAGGTATTTGAAAACATAACCAGATGGTGTTGGAACCATTGAGAAATCTGTGGCTTGAATTTATAGGAATTTCTACAGTCAGTCTTACTTAAGAGTCAGTTTGAGGCTTTGTTTTAGATTTGAGGGACAGAATTATCATGTGTTAGCACATTTGCAGAATATTTTACCTCATGACTTTCCATAAATAGTCTGACCTTAGTAATTTATTTAAACCCCAGCCTGATTTTTATGATCCTTCCAAGAATTATTGACTTCCCTCAGGCAAAGTTTTCAACTGATTTCTTTAGCATCATCTTAATGATTAGGTGTGTTGGTTCTGCTTAGTGGAGACTGTTTTTCAGAGACATTTGCATATTCATTGAAATCTAGAAATAATTTTGCTTAATGTAGAATGTCATAGTAACAGTATTTACTGTGTTTCAATTTCAGTTTGGGAAACTAACTAGTTCTTTGTTTTCCTGCATTCAGCATTCTGTTGATTTTTTTGAATGAAGGCCTTCCTCTACTTCTATCAAAAGAGTGAGATTGGTGAAAATGTTCAGAAATAAATGTAACTCTTTATTCCTAGTAAAATTTAATAGTATGAAACAGGATTGGATCAAGCAGAACTCTTCAGACATTTTCTAGTTTTGATCAGTGAAGTTGTGCGTTTAGGTATGAAGTAGAATCATAGAATGGTTTGGGTTGGAAGGGACCTTAAAGATCACCTAGTTCCAAATGCACTGCCATGGGCAAGGACACCTTCCATTAAGTCAGGTTGCTCAAAACCCCATCCAGCCTGGATTGGATAATCTAAACCTCCCCACTTTCAATTTAAACCCATTACGCCTTGTCCTGTCACTCCAGGCCCTTGTAAAAGGTCCCCCCCAGCTCCCTTGTGGACCGCTTTAGGTACTGGAAGGCTGCAATAAGGTCTCCTCAGAGCTTTCTCTTCTCCAGGCTGAACAAGCCCAACTCTCTCAGCCTGTCCCCATAGCAGAGGTCCTCCAGCCCTCTGAGCATCTTTGTGGCCTCCTCTGGACTCGCTCCAACCTGTCTATATCCTTCTGATGTTTGGGGGCTCCAGAGCTGGACGAAGTACTCCAGGTGAGGTCTCAGGAGAGCAGAGTACAGGGGGAGTATCGCCTCCCTCGACCTGCTGGCCACACTTCTCCTGATACAGCCCAGGATACGGTTGGCTTTCTGGGCTGCCAGCGCACACTGCCGGCTCATGTTCAGCTTTTCATCCACCAGTATCTCCAAATCCTTTTTCTCACGGCTGCTCTCCATCCATTTTCTCCCCAGCCTGTATTTGTGTTTGGGATAGCCCCAAGCTATGTGAAGGACTATCTGTGAAATCCATGTCTCTCTAATTTAGCTACAAGGATGTCGTGCGGGACAGTGTCAAATGCTTTACATGAGTCCAGGTAGATAAGTCAGTTGCTCCTCCCTTATCCACCAGTGCTGTAACCCTGTTGTAAAAGGCCAACAAATTTGTCAGGCACGATTTGCTCTTACTGAAGCCATGTTGACTGCCACCAGTCACCTCCTTATTTTCCATTTGTCTTAGCGTAATTTCCAGGAGGATCTGCTCCGTGGTCTAGCTGGGCACAGAGGTCAGACTGACTGGCCTTTAGTTCCCTGGGTCTTTCTTTTTTCCCTTCTTAAAAATGGGGGTTATGGTTCCCCTTTTTCAATCAGTGGGAACTTCACCAGTCTGCCACAACTTCTCAGATATGATGAGTAGTGTCTTAGCAAATTCATCCACTAGTTCTCTTGGATCCGCAGATGTATCTCGTCAGATATCCATGGACTTGTGCACCCTCAGATTCCTTAGATGGTCTAGAACCTTGTCTTCTACAGTGGGCGGTTTTTCATTCTCCCAGTCCCTGCCTTTGCCTTCTGTGACTTGGGTGTTGTGACTTGAGCACTTGTGAGTGAATACGGAGGCAAAAAGTTTTTGAGTACCTCAGCCATCTCTATATTCTGGGTAAACACATCTCCCATTTCCTTCTGGAGAGGGCCCACGTTTTCCCTAGCCACTTTTGTCACCGATGTACCTGTAGAAGCATTTCTTGTTGCCCTTGACATCCCTGGCCAGATTTAATTCCATCAGGGCTTTAGCTTTCCTGACTTGATCCCTGACTTCTCAGACAATTTCTCTGTAATCCTCCCAGGAAACCTGTTCCTGCTTCCACCTACTGTAGGCTTTCTCTTTGTGCCTTATTTTGCCCAGGAGCTGCTTGTTCGTCCACACAGGCCTCCTGGCATTTTTGCCTGAATGCCTCTTTCTTGGGATGCATCGCTCCTGGGCTTGGAGGAGGTGATCCTTGAATACTCGACAGCTTTCTTGGGGCCCCATTCCCTCCAGGCCTTCATCCCATGGAACTTTGCTAAACAGATCACTGAAGAGACAAAGTATGCTCTCGTGAATTCCAGGGTAGTGAACTTGCTGTGTGCCCTCAGTGGTACACTAAGAATCTCAAACTTTCGTGGTCGCTGCAGCCAAGGCTGCCCTTGAGCTTCACATTATCCACCAGCCTCCCCCTGTTGGTCAGAACAGGGTCCAGCATGGCACCCCTCCTCTTCGGCTCCTTTATCACGTGAAGAAGGAAATTGTCAGCAACGCATTCCAGGAACCTCCTAGCTTGCTTGTGCCTTGCTGTGTTGTCCCTCCATCAGCTGTTGGGGTGGTTGAAGTCCCCCATGAGGACCAGGGCTTATGAACATGATGCTGCTCCTCTCTGTCTATAGAGGGCGTCATCTGCTTCGTCATTCTGGTCAGACACCCTGTAGCAGGCCCCCACTGTAATGTCTCCTGTCCCTGCCCTCGCCTTAATCTTGACCCTTAAGCTCTTGGTCGGTTCCTCATCCATCTCCAGGCAGAGTTCCATACACTCCAGCTGGTCTCTGACATAAAAGATGACACCCTCTCCTTGTCTCCCCTGCCTGTCCTTCCTGAAGCGCCTGTATCCTTCCATTCTGATGCTCCAGTAGTTGGAGCCATCCCACAGTGTCTCTATGATGCCAAGATCATAGCCCTGCAGGTATGCGCACATCTTTTAAGTCATCTTTAAGCCCCATCCTCCTGACACCCACCCTTTAGATACTGATAAGCATTGATAAGATCCCCCCTCAGCCTCCTCTTCTCCAAGCTGAACAGACCCAGCTCTCTCAGCCTTTCCTCATATGGAAGGTGCTCTAGCCCTTAATCATCTCAGCGGCCCTGCGCTGGACCCTCTCCAGTAGCTCCTTGTCCTTCTTGAGCTGAGGAGCCCAGAACTGGACACAGCACTCCAGGTGAGGCCTCACAAGTGCAGAGCAGGGCGGGAGGATAACTTCCCTGGACCTGCTGGCCACGCTCTTCTTAATGCATCCCAGGATGCCCTGGGCCTTCTTGGCCATGAGAACACACTGTTGCCTCATGGTGAACCTCTTGTCCACTAGGACTCCAAGGTCAATTATATACAAAAGGTAGCTCTGTTGCACAGTAGAAAACACATTTAAAACCAAGCAGAATCTAATCAGAATGTTTCCTCCATTAAGTCAAAATTCATGAGTTAGGGATAGAGGTATTGAAATGGTGTAACCCACATCAGGAAAAATTTTATGTAGTTTGCAATTATGGGATTTAAAGTAATGCAACTTAAAAATGATGCAATTTTGAAGTGCTGTGACATAACCGAAAATGATAAACTGTTTTCTTCTAGATTTATTATACCGGCAAATATCAGAGCCTTGGAATCAAACAAGGTGGTAAAAAAATGGGTTGAGCTCCCAATCACAAAATCTCCAAAGATTATTCAGTTCTCTGTTGGACACGATGGTTCACATGCCTTACTTGTTGCTGAGGATGGAAGCATATTCTTCACGGGTTCTGCCAGTAAAGGAGAGGATGGCGAATCAAGTACGTATTACGCTTGCTTGCTGGATAGTTTATAAAAGCCTATTAACCACCTTTTAATTTGAAAAGATGATTTTTAACATTTTCCAAGAATATGTAAGCATGTCACTGGGTTTGAATTTTATGCCAGCCACAGGTCTTGACAACCAATGCTACTGCCTCTCCCAGTTAGTGAGGTGTTAGTCTCAGTTTTAGCACAGTTCAGATTGTGTGGTAGGAGTGCTATTTTACAGTTGCCCTGGGAAAATGCCATCACAGGTTTGGTCAAGAGAATGTACTGTCTGCCTGGTACTTTGTCTGAAAAACTGAGGAGACAAGCTTTTGCTTCTTCACTGTTGTTTTAGAGAACTTTGGACACAGGTGTTTGGCCAGTAAATGCCTCTCTGTAATGGAGAGGAAGGAACACGGATGAGAAATTGTAGAAGCAGTCTTCTGTGCTTTATCAAGTAGTACTCTTCAGACATTAGAGAAGACAGATTAACTTCATCTTCAGACTAAAAAATGCTTCTTTAAATGAAATTTATAAATTTCCTAGTTTTGATCTCTGAAGCTGTGTGTTTAGGTTGAAATATACTTTATATGAAAATAAAATATGGCTTTAGTTGCCCTAAAGCTGTGATTTGCTGTGATACTATACTAAATACTTCAAGAAATAGACTGTTGTGTGAAGTTGTATGAAATTAATGGGGGCAAACAAAAAAAAAAGAATGTGTTTTGATTAGTACCTAGCCCGTGAGCTAGGTATCAGCTTAAAACACATCTGATATTCTTGAGTTGTCAGCCTCCTGATGTTTACATTTTAGTAGGATAATATAATGTTGTATTTCATAGATAGCATTTTTGTATCATACTGAAGCCTAACTCAAAATTCAAATTAATTTCTCAATGTTCTGTTTTAATAGTGTAGTTTGATGTTACCATTAAAATATATTTATTCTTCACAAAGCAGGTATGTGGAAGAGTTTGGTCTGCTAGCCAGAGAATTTAAACACAGATTTAGTAAGACTGACATTTTTGTGCTTCAGTGTAGTCAGAAATATGATAAATAATACTCAAATGTTGGTATAAAATTTGAGTCTATAGGCAGTGGTAGGTGGTTAGAATTTAAAAAATTACTTAAAATATAATTTGGAAATAGATTTATAATCTTGTTAAACAGCAGTGTACAGTCCAGCTTTGTCTCAATCAACTGTGTTGAAGTTTTATCTCAAGAAAATTGTTAGCAAAAACTCCCTGGTCTGCATTTGTGAGGTATGGCATACTCATGCAGAAACAAAGCATATTTAACATATTGTTCCTGTGAAAGTTTCACTGCACTGACAGTATTCCCAAGAATGTGTGGTTTTTCCCATGTAATGTAACTAAAATACAGGCAAGAACCTATTTTAAGGTTTGATAAAGGATATGGAGTGTATTCTTGAATGTGTTCAGGGGAGAGGTATTTAATGGTAGTACTCCTGTGTAAAAAATTTCCAGTAGAGTTAACTTAAGATTGAAACAAAAATATTTCAGGACATACATTTAAAAGCAGAAATTTCAAGATTTTTTTTTTCATAGAATCATAGAGGGGTTTGGGCTGGAAGGGACCTTAGAGAGCATCCAGTTCCAACCCCCCTGCCATGGGCAGGGCCACCTTCCACTAGACCAGGTTGCTCAAAGCCTCATCCAGCCTGGCCTTGAAGACATCCAGGGCTGGGGCATCCACAGCTTCTCTGGGCAACCTGTCCCAGTGCCTCACCACCCTCTCTGTGAAGAATTTCTTCCTGATATCTAATCTAACCCTCCACACTTTCAAGTTTAAACCCATTACCCCTTGTCCTGTCACTACAGGCCCTTGTAAAAAGTCCCCTCCCAGCTTCCTTCTAGGCCCAGTTTTTGCGGTTATAGGGAAGCTATCCAAAATACAATTACACTGATTCTTTTTGTTTGTTTATTTATTTATTTAATTAATCTGCAATTTCAGGTGAAACAGAAGTTTAGCACTTTGAAGTAAATTGCTATCGCTGCTTTAGCTTAAACAAGCAACTTTTAGGTGGGACGTTCTAGCTCTTACTAGGTCTCACAGAGGAATCTGCTCAAGGACCTGATCAAGGTCTCTCTGAGTTCTTTTAACAGCTCAACGGTCTTCTAACTGATCTAGTTCTCTTTGTCACTTTCTAATTTGGCTCAGAGTGGATGTGCACAAGTTTTAAGCTTTTTCCCCTGATTTCTCTTGAACATTGGCAGGGAGACTAGGCTTCTGTCAGCGGGGGGGTATATATAAAAGAAAAACTTGAAGACTCCTTACTAAAAGATACCTATCTAACCACAGCTGTGCTTGCCGTTGAACTTTTTTGAGAGAAACCAGTGTGATCCAATAAAAATTAGACCAGGACATCATACAGATTTTTTTTTTTTTCAGTAGTAGTCTGAAAACTGACCCCTACATATAAAACAAATGTTATTGTCCCCTTGGGTGTTGTTTTGTGGTTTTTTTTTTTTTTTTTGGTAGACTGACTTGCATTATGTATTTATTTAAAGCTAAAAGCAGACGGCAGTCAAAACCATATAAGCCTAAAAAAATTATTAAAATGGAAGGAAAAATTGTCATATCTACAGCGTGCAATAATGGAAGCAGTTCTGTGATTTCAAAAGATGGAGAACTCTACATGTTTGGAAAAGATGCCATTTACTCTGATAGTACAAGTAAGTTAATATTTGTTTTTTAAGTGATTTTTCAACTAGAGCAATTGAAATTAGTCTGGAAGGTTTTAGCCTGTGGAAATGGTGATTGTGTTTCTTAATCTCCTAATAGTTTTCTGAATTTCTGCTGATTCAGCCAAATATGACAGAAGGCAGTTTCCTTAAGTTCTGTAAAAAATATATAGCAGCACTGCTGACAACTACCAAATTGAATGCTTCCACTAGGGTGGGGGAGGAATCATTTGTTGTATTAATCTGACACTAGAAGGCCACATGGGGAAAAGTCACAGAAACGAGACATGTTTTGTTATGAACAAAGGCTGCAGGAAACCAAGCCCTACACATTTTTCTACTCAGAAGACAGCCTGTTTAGAATTTGCAGGTGATCTAGTACATCTCAGTTTAAATAAAATACTAAAGGGATAAACTCCAATGGCATTACAACTTCTTTAGAATTGTTTTTTAGAATAAGTGATTTGCAGCAGGGTTTGGTTTGGTTTTGGCTTTTCTTTCTTTGCAGGAGAAATAGCCTAGTCCTAATTCTCTGTTCACTTCTTATTCTAGCACTTGTTTTCTGTATCTGCTGTTTTTCTCCCTTGCTGTTCATTTAAAAATTGTCGGTTTCCACTAGCAATTTTGTTATATTGCTGAAGTTTCCTTCTTGGGTAGAAAGTCCAGTTTACCACTCAACTGTTTTATGTCTCGTAGGTTTAGTAACAGATTTGAAAGGCCATTTTGTGACTCAAGTAGCCATGGGCAAAGCTCACACCTGTGTATTAATGAAGAATGGAGAAGTTTGGACATTTGGCGTAAATAATAAAGGGCAGTGTGGACGAGACACAGGCTCCATGAGCCAGGGAGGAAAAGGTGAGGGACCTAGGTTTTTGCTTTTGTTTTGTGTTCTGGAAAATACCAGAAATGAAACAGCTAAGCATTTTATTATAAATTATAAAATAAAATATTAAAATACTAAAGCTTAAGTACATGCAATGTGCTTAAAAACAGGTATGGATGCTTTCACTTCAACTGTCAGGTATTTGGTGTTCTGCACATACTAATAAACTTAGATATGTAAGTAAAAAGTTTTTGAAATCTCAATTACTTCTCTTTTGTCTGTGAAAAAGCTTTTTCTTTTTGATTCATTTGTTTAAAAAAAATCTAACTAACCTCATCACTCCTGGTCTTACTATGTGCTGTTGTCTTAGTAAGAAAGTATTTTCTACCTTTTCTGTTTTGCATTCTGTCCTGAGGCATCTGTTTGCCTAGACAGGGCATGAATGCAAGTCTACATCTTTCTCTGCACAACGGAATGTTTCAATTACTCCTAAATATAGGTATGAAAAATCATACCTATTCACCTCTGCTGGATTGGAATTTACGTGACAAGTAAATGATCACTTCCATGTGTACTGAATATAAATGTTTCATTTCCTGTTTTTAGTCATGAAATGAGATATACACCCCATCCCATGCTCAGAAGTTTCAAAAGTGCCATTGTGCTGGCTGAGCACGCATATGAGGCATGCCTTGTCATTCCTTTAAAAATTCTGATCTGTGAGTGTTCGTCAGAGCCTCCTCAGTAGTCACTGTTGGCCTCAGAAAACAGCTGTTTCTTATTTCAATATCTTAATTAGGTTTTGGAGTTGAGAACATGGCAACAGCCATGGATGAAGACCTAGAAGAGGAACTGGATGAAAAAGATGAGAAGTCCATGATGTGTCCTCCGGGCATGCATAAATGGAAGCTGGAGCAGTGTATGGTGTGCACTGTGTGTGGAGATTGCACAGGCTATGGAGCTAGCTGTGTTAGTAGTGGGCGTCCTGACAGAGTACCTGGAGGGTAAGCCAACGTGTGGAAATACACTGACTTGAGTGTGTTGTATGTAAACTGAGCTAATGTGTTAAACTTCAGTCTGAGCTAACGTACCTAAAAAGAGTCTGTCCTTTTAAAATTTGGAAGTAAGTTAAAATTTTTGTAAATTGCTTGTGATGGTCGCAGGTGATTTAGTTTTACATGCATTTTTTTCCATTTCTTTACCGTGTAATTCTTTCCTATTAAAGATAAACACTAATATAATCTGACTCTGGACAGAGCTGCTGGCTTTGGGATAGCTTTTCTTTGTTCTGTGATGGAAGTTACTTATCTTGCTGTTCAGGTTGCTTTTATCTGTTACTTCAGGGTTGAGCTGTGTAAAGGGCCACTTTATATGTTGCCATTTCTGTTTCTTCAGCATTGCATGTGCTCATTGTTTCCTTGTTCATGTTTTCATGTGGTGTATGTTTAATTAAATGAAGAAAAGTTAATGCTGAGAAATTAGTTCAGTTATGTAGGATCGGTGTATGCTCCTTGGCACCATGCAACAGCAGCTGGGATTTAAACTAGCTATACTTCCTCTTTATCTCAGGAAAAATTACATGCATAAAGATAGAACAAACTGATAATATACTTTTGATTTACCAAGGCATCAGTAATGCACAACAGTTATAGTGATAAAGCAACTCTGTTTGCTGCAGAATCTGTGGCTGTGGCTCAGGTGAGTCGGGCTGTGCTGTATGTGGCTGCTGCAAGGCGTGCGCTAGAGAACTGGATGGCCAGGAAGCAAGGCAAAGAGGAATCCTTGATGCTGTAAAAGAGATGATACCTTTAGACCTCTTGCTTGGTAAGTGATATGAAATTAGCAAGATGGCTTTTAATTTTCTATTGTAGTGCACTACTTTTTTTTCCACTCAATATTTCTGATTACACTCATTAAAAAACTCGGTCCCACTGCTGACTTTTGAAACTTGGAGTAACAGGGTAGTTTAGAAATAAGTTTGTTCTTTTCAGGTAATATTTCGATTCTTCTGTATGATAAAGTTTTGTATCTTAAGTAATGCAGTTCTTTCTTTCCAATGAAATTACTGAACATTCAGATTTACCGGGCAGTTTCAGTATAATATTGTTGAAATGGATAAAATGTTGCTTGTCAGGCAGATTTATTTGTTGGTGGTATAGCAAAGTGGGATCACTCTGGTAAGTGAAGTTAATTTTAATCTTGCCATTAGTATGGGATCACAGAATCACAGAATGGCTTGAGTTGGAAGGGACCTGAAAGACTATCTAGTTCCACCCCCCTGCCATGGGCAGGGACACCTTCCACTAGACCAGGTTGCTCAAAGCCTCATCCAGCCTGGCCTTGAAGACAGCCAGGGATGGGGCATCCACAGCTTCTCTGGGCAACCTGTTCCAGTGCTTCACCACCCTCTCTGTGAAGAATTTCTTCCTTATATCCGAATGGAACCTGTCCACATAAACATGTGTTCCGTTTTGACCTGGATAGTTATGTTACTAATGCTGATACTACAGAGTTATTTTTGTCCTTTTTTGATAGCCTGAAAATTCTTGTATCAGGGTTTTTTACAGTCACATAAAAGATGGGGAATATTGTTTTTTTGAAAACTTTTTTCTTTTTTCGTAAAAATTTTCAGAGAGAAAGAGCTGCCAGGAATGTGGAAATTACTGTTAAAAAAAACCCCAAAACACCTACCTACCCTCCCTCCCCCTAAGAAACACCTTAGGGAAAAAATACCAACTGATATGATTATTGGAAAATACAGTTTAGGATCTTGCCTTGTAAGAGCTGTTATCACAGTATTTTTAATATTGTGTTCTCTGTACTTACAATGAGGCAGTTACAGTTTTTGGAGCAGACATTCCTTCCTTTTTTTTAATACTTAGATTTACATAGAGCACTTGAATCCTACATGAGTGTATGGATATATTATATCTGGTATAGAAAAGAACCATAAAATAATCAAATGCGTGACTTAAAATATTTATATTTCTCGACAATTTATTGTCAGGAAGAGTAACAATAGAAAAGTATATCTATACTTTGTGGGATTTTTCTTTTACCAAAGCAAAAGTTAAATAGAAACCAGAAGTGTCTCTCTTGAGAATTTTACACTAGTGACTCCAAAGAACCTTATTGTGCAGTCCTGATACGTCTATACATATATTTCTAAATGTAATTTTCTTGTATCACAGAGGTAGGTTTATCCTGAGGATGAATTTGGTAGTAGCAGTTCTGCTTCACAGCTCTGGTCTCATGCATGACCAGAGAGGAGTTACGGTGTTTGTGCTAACCTCAGCTTTGCTAACTCCTCTCCTAGTAGGACAGACAACAGCTCTTGGTGCTGTGTTGGACTTCGCATAGTTTGAGGTGTGGGCCTTGAACTGGTTGTCCACATTTGTCTGGAGAAAAGTGACGGTGCTTCCAGGTGGAGTTTTTGTGTGATACTGGGGGCAAGGTGTATTTTTAAAGTTTTTTTTTTGGTTGCAATTTGCTGGGGGAAAAAAAAAATGGGGCAAAGGTAGTGCTTACAGTACTTCTACTGTTGCATTCATTCGGGTCATGTTTTCTGTTTAACAAAGTGCTTATCAGTTTCTTTCAGATTCCTAATAAATTAGCTAGTTTGGTGAATAAGTCAGGTTTACATACAGATGCATATGTGCATTAAGTAATTGCATTCTGCGTAGTAAGCACCAAGCATGTAATGGTAAAGCATTTTTAAACTGAAAAGTATCTACTTAAAACATTTTTAAAATATAAGCAATTTTATTCTTGTTTTAATAATAATGCCTTTGAAAAGTTTTGGGGGAAAATTGAGATAACCATGATAACACATAACTAAATGAAAATATGTATATGCCTAATAAAAAGCAAGTATTAAATACTATTCAGTAATGTTGGAATTGTGGCAGATTCATGAAAATCAGGAAATTTACTCAAATCCTTCATTTCCAAACACTGTGTCAGAGCCACTTAAAGAGCAGGGTAGTAAGTAGGCTCCAGATTTCATTTACTTAACTTCTGGGGTTTACTACCATCATAACAAGTTTTAAAGATAGTTTCACATGTTTTATTTCTTAATCTATGTAGCTGTCCCTGTTCCTGGAGTTAATATTGAAGAACACCTTCAGTTACGGCAAGAAGAAAAGCGACAACGTGTGAACAGGAGGCATAGATTGGAAGAAGGAAGAGGTAAGTGACCTTCTTATTGATGAGAGGCTTGAGTAGTTCAAGAAAACATCTTAGTCTGTTTTCTAAGAACAGAAAATAATTAGTTTTGCTCCACTTGAGTCAACATAGTAACCAAACAAAAACCAGAACCTAAATAGCTAGCTTATGTTATTTAGCATGCTTCTGGAAAATTGTGGAAAATCTGTATGTGTAACAAAGTCTACTCATAAGGATCAGAATTTTAATGGTGAAGAGTGCCATTCCATATCACTTTCATGTAGTTAATTTCCATTTTTTGCTGTTTCCTAGTTGAATAATGTTTTCTGGACATGTAGATGCTAAAGCATTTTATATATTGAATTTATATGCCTTTATGTATGAAGAGTTGAAATGACTGCAAGCCTGTCCAGTTCTATAGTATGAATTATTTTATTATTATACATTATCAGATTTCTGTTGTATAGTAGTAATCACAGTTAATGGCCAAATGAACTTTTCTGTAATTGAATAGCCTGCAAAAAATGACACACTGACTGAATTCAGTTAAAAAAAACCAACCAACCAAACCAACAAAAAAAACCCCACACAAGCAAACCTACAACCAAACGAAAAAGAACCCCCAAAATAAACCTACATAATTTGAAAGTTTACTTGTCCTGTATATTATCTACCCTGGGAATTGTTGATTTTCCCCATGAACAATATATACTTTGACAGGTTTTTGGTAGTCCTCTTGTTTTAAAATACCTCAGTGTCTTAATCTGGTAAATACTTAAAGTTGGGAGATTTAGATCGATGTAGATGTTTTAGTGAAGCCTCATGATGTGGTTGGTAAATTATTGTGTGTTGAGAAGAGCAACAGCTTTATTGGAATTTTATGATCTTCAAGTTCGTGCGTGTTACTAAATATCATTTTGATTCCCCTTTTAGGAATTAGATACTGTTTTTACTCAGATACAAAATGCACATTGTAATCAGACTTAGTTCCTAGACTCCATGCCAGTGAACCTTGTGTGGCAGATTGTGGCGTTATTTCACTTACATGAAAGAAATGACTGGTCTTACCACAAATAAGGAACAACAAGGAAGAGAAAGCTTCTAGTTTCCTATGCATGTGGAAAAGATTGGAATATTTATTTGTCTTTGCATCTTTGTGGTTAATTTTAGCTGTGAGGTGGAGAGAGGGAAGCTGCCATTCTTCCTTTGTCTAGGTCGTGTTGGAGCTGCATTGCATACTGCTGACAAATATTAGGTACAGACATTTCGGTTTGCCTCCATTTCTGTGGTTAGAAGTAGAACCAAAGCAGCTTATCCCTTTGGTATGCCATCTGTCTCTTTAAAAAGGAGAAAAAAATCTAACGGAGTCTTAGGTGATCAAGGTCAGGAATGTGGTGTCATTGTCGGTTTGATAGGTGTGTGATGCCTGTAGCTAAGAAGCTACTGCTGGTTGGCTTGTTGCACACATCCATGCTATATTCTGTATCAAAAGAGCATTGAAATTCTTCTGTGGCTATTACTGTAGAGGGTATGTCTGGCTGGAAGGGTTGGAGATTAGTCTCCTGCTTCAGTTCGGAATGACTTACGTGATAAAACTGGGAATAGTGTTTCAAAAATACTTAGAAAACTTGATTTACCTAATCTGATATGAAAATTTGATTTGATAATCAATCTTCATTTACATAATCAGATCAAAAAGTTGTTTTGTTGCTTCTCGATCCAAATGCTGAAGTTTTCCGTGGGTTGCTGGAAAGAATAACACCATTCTTGAGAACTCATCAGGATGCTCATCTTTCGTGAGAGAGAGCAAGAACATTTAAATGATCTACTAGATTTTCATTTTTTCTCTGCAAAAGGTTTTGCAGCCTGAAAACCCATAGTATAACTGATGTTAAAAAGAAGAGGCAGACTGCTTAGTTTCCCCAGAAAGTCCTAGTATTTGTGCATATATAACTGAGCAAATCCTTGCTAATGAAATAGCTATTTAGAGATCCAAAGAAAAATTTCAACTTTTCACTTCTCTGAAAACATCACTTAGTCAGTTAAAGACCAGATGATCTCTGTTAGGGTCTTTCCTTCAGGTATACAGTCTTCTGTTTGTCAGGATTATGGTTTCTGGGTTGTAGTGTGTTAATGTGCAGCGTTTGTTCTTTTATGCCAGATCAGGGAGAAACAAAGCATGCGTAGTGTTTGATAGTCAAGAACAGGATCCATCACTCAGTGTTGCTGATCACTCTTTAGTTACATACAATTGATGACAGTTATTCAATACAAATGTTTTCAGTAGATCTTGAATGTCTTATAAACAAGTGGATTATGGAAGCTTTTAAAGTAAACATAGGAATATTTCATTCCTAAAACAAGCAAGGAAACAAAACAAAATAAACAAAAAATAACAAATAAATCCGTCACTTATTTGCCCACTGAATATGCTGAAATAAAGTTTAGGACCGAAGTGTAAGAGCACAAGTGCTGGAAGTATACTGGTTTCCACACTGTGGGTTTTTAAGTGGTCTAATTGTTTCTTTACCAAAGCTCCCAATTTAGTCCTGGTAGAGTTAACATCTGATTTAAATACATGTTCCAGCGGTCCACTCAAATTAAAAGGGAGAAAGTGGGGGTTATGGCTACAAGTATGACCATCTCTTAACTCCTTCACGAGGTCAGTTGTGGTCTCTTACATGAAAGATGTGTATGCTCATCTTTATATTTGCAGAAAAAGTGCAAATAAAATCTGAATGTCTGTATTCTGGGAAGGAGAAGTAGTTGTGATAAATACCTACAATATCAATGGTCTACTTAAATGTTACGGTCTTTTCAGTTAAGAGCAGTTAACTCAGCTCTCAAACATCTTCCAAGTCAAAGTAGCCTGCTGCTGTTGTTGTTCAGCAGCACCATACTGAGTGATGAGTAACTCCAGAAGTTTTACGTGCTTATGCTGAAGATTTCTGGGTTTTATTTTTAAATGGCAGTCACAGCAGATTGGTTTATTCTTGCTCTGATAAAGATTATTTACTGGTTATCTTTCTATGTTTCAAACCATTTATTCATGTTGCTTCACTCAAGAAAGAAATTTTATTTTAGTGACAAGTTAGATCCTTAAATATAACAGTGGAAAAAAGTGTTTCAGTGTGGGATGATAACTATTATTTCAAAAAACTTAAGAGGTTCTGAATATTGGTTATATTTCTTTGCTCTTTTCAGTGCAACCAATATGTCTAGTGTATCCAGGTGACAATTTCTGCTTCTTTTCTGTGACAGTGGTAGAGCTACTTCACTCAGCTGCTTCTTTCTGCTTCTAGCTTAATGGCAGTTGCAAGAGCAGCGAAGAGGGCTCGAAATCAATTCAACATTTTTGAATCTGGTGTATGACCTCTTGAGAAATAATGCCAGCTGTATTCATCACAGCTTCTTCCTAATTTCCCATTGTAGTTATTGATGGGTGTTTCTCAGCATTTCACTGTCTCTCAGGTTCTGGTGAGAAGGGATGGAGCTGATGTACTATACGAGGAAAAAAATGTTTGTTTTTCAGGCTAGTTTAGAGCTTGATGGGAATGGTGGGAGGTGAGCAAAGAAGTAGTTGCACTTTATTCTTTTCTGTGATAATGAGGAAATTTTGTATGCTAGAATATTCAGAACATGGTTAGATCATTTTTCCTTTCCTATCAAACACCAATTTTTTTAGGCTTGGGGCATTAAATTATGCCTTAATGGATTACAGAAATCCCTGGGCCACACTGTACAATTAATATAATGAACCTAAGATTACCATTTACTGAGTGTGCTAATCTTGAAAGCTGTTTCTGCAACTCTTTCAGATTAATATTTGAAGTAATAGAATTTAGAAGTAGTCAAAGATTTCAATTTATCACTTAAAGATAACTTTTTTCAGAAAGCTCTGAGAGTGGGAAAATAGCTTTTTAAACAAAGTATATTCAATTAATAAGTTGAAAAATAGAGAAATAACTCTTAATATGGTGATAATAAATCATCTGAGTGTTGTGGTCCATTGGTATTTCTCTACTACTCTTTCTTAGCCTGTGATGTAAAACCCTTTAGATGATCATTACTGAGATACAGATTTGATGTGTAATTAACCAAGGTTTAGCTTTTGATGCCTTTACAGAAAGGGAAAATTATTTTCCTTCAATCTTACTTTACTTGGAACAACAAAAAAAACCCCAGGAAATTGATTAATTTTAGCCAAAGCTGCTGTGTATTGACACAATATTATCTGAGGCCACCTGTATTTGGGCAACTTTTGATTTTTCTGTAGTGTAATTGATTCAGTAGTTAATTTCACTGTGGTAGGCTGAGTATTATATAAACCTGTTTAACATCTGCCCAAGCCACTATTGGCTTAGAATCAGTTCGTCAGTAACACTGTTCTCTGTTCATTGCTGCACTTGTGCCTAAATATACGGCAGAACTCTCTCTTCAATTGCTATATTTTTCATTAAATATTAGTGCACCTTCTTGCTGTAGTTTCAGTTAAATATTTACTTTGATGCTTTCAGAACTTGGAAGGTATGTGTGTTTCAAAGTTTCTTTAAACAAAGAAAAAAAGGAAAAAAAATTTGATACTGGAAACAGTATCAAATCCATGCATGATTTTCTGCTTAAAAATGCTTTCAAGAGAAAGCTGTAGGATTTGTTCTTAATGACAAGCAGCTGCAATTCTTTGAAATTATATTTTTGTGTTTGTGTTTGTGATTTCTGTGTGGAAGAGGTGACTGTTGTTAATAAAATTACATTTAATGTGGAAATATTTATATTTCTATTACAGCTTTAGAACTCAGGTTTGCAGTAGACTCAATGAGAACAGTTCTGGTTTATATTTAGTGTTTTAATTTACGTGTTTACATACAGAACTGCATCTTTCCTATTAATTTAACAATATACACAAAGTCAAGTATTCAGAAGCGGGAAAGTGTCAAAATCACAATTATCATAAAACTTACTTCCATCTCATTCTCTATCACACCAAATTGCCTTGCATGCTTATATCTGCTAGCCTGCATCTCTTTTTCCCCTATTAAAAGCACTAATAATTTTTCTTCCATATCTAAGTGTCAGTAGAAAAGAGGTTTAAGAACACAGGAAAAGGTGTGTACCCTGGTTTTTATTTTCAGTGTTTTGAACAGAAGGGGCAAACTGCAATTAACCTTGGTTGCCTGCATGGCATATTGATATTCTCCATGAATATTTCTGCCATAATAATAAATTGCTACTCATAGTCTGAAAAAATACATGCACCTCAACTAATAACCCTGCCTCATAGGGATATTACTATGTTTCCCTTAAGTCTATGGAGGTGAGAAATTATCTCAGTATAATGTTTTCCACTTTTAGTGAAAGTTTGTCCCCATTTTCATTTTCAAAAATAGTCGACTTTAAAATTTACAAACTATTGACCTATTAGGCAACTATTTTCCTGTATTAGGGGTTTGCGTCCCTATTTTACTATTAAAAAAAAAAAAAATAGAAAACCCCACAACACCACCTGTTTGTTTTTTCTTTTACAAGTATTCCAGAAGCCAAAAATAGGGTTTTACAACATAAAGTAGCATCCAACATAGGACTTCCCTATGCAACCTTAATTTATACTGCTTTTGTATGTTCCTCATCATACAGTCTTCAATTGTGTGGTCATGTACTATTTTTGTCAGGTACATTTGCCTGCCACAATTGGTGCGCTGGTGTAGAAGTCATCATTTGAGGTCGCTGATTTCAGTTTTCTGTAATCACATCTTGCCAAATAGCATTTGTTTAGGGAAAGATACTAGAACAAATCAAAGTATCTGTAATGTAAGTTCAAATTAAATAGTAAACACTGATAGTTCAGCCTAAGTGCTTAGATGCCCAAGAATACAAAAGCACGTAAATGCAGGTAGGATGGTATTAATTGTGTATGTTTTCCTGTAGTCCACTGCATTATTTAATATATACATTCTATTTTGCTAGAAAATTATTTCTGTGGATAAATGTTGGGTGTTTGGTTTTGGTTTGTTTTGGGGTTTTTTTTGGGGTTTTTTTCCCCTTTATGCTCTTCATTCACTGCCAGACAAAGTCCCTCTTGGAAGGCCTGGATCCTGCAGGACCAGGAAAGAAAAGTTAATCTTTGTTTCGTAGGCTAGGGATATTCAACCTCTCAGATTAACTGTGCAAAAACATTCTATTAAAAAATAAAGGGAGGGAGAGAATGTCATTTTGCATCATATAGTAACTGATTTAAAGTAGCAGCACTGTAGTCTACCAGTGACACGGCTTTGTGTATCTCTGTAACTCGAGCTACTGAAATAACTGAGAATAGTAATAGGTTGTTATTTCCCATGTAGATCTGTTGGAGGCTTCTAGAAGAGCTTTTCAAATACTACTCTGCAGGCATTTTTAGAGAAAATAAAGGAAGTGTCTAATGCATGGCTGAATTGTTCCACCAGAATAATTCATAGTACCTAAACTCTGCTCCTGTGGTACAGACAACCTCAGATGCAGGCAGAGAGCAGGTACGGTCTCTGATTGCACTGGTGTTTTGTTTCCTGTGGTGGTGTTTTGGAAGGAGAGGAGGTACTTTACATTGTGCCAGATCATGACTGAACATGCAGGCATCATAATGTAATAAAAATGTAGGTATTTCCTATCATATTATGACAGTGTTACAGATTTAGTAGCCATGAAAAGCCAAAGGGGATGACAGACTTGCACATCCTGTTACAGGGACTGGATAATTTTATTTTGGTTTCAGGTTCTTTTCATAATGGGTGGGAATGTAAAGTATATAGGGATATCCAGAAGCAAAGTTAAATCCTGCTTTGATCAGAAGCTTAGATGATGTTAGAGTTGTCATCTTAACGAGGAATTTGTAATTTAGATGAGCAGCTTGGCAACTAAAGGCAGCAGTGTGCTAGCACCCTGCTGGAGCTGACGGCCTTTTGTGCTTCCCAAACATTCTCTCTCGCCCAGATCTCCTGTAGTTCTGTTACTCACCCTAATGTACTTCACTTCCTTCTGTCCTCCTGAAATTCTCTTTTTATTTGCCATCTTTGCTTTTAGCACTAAAATGCCAAAGGCTGACTTCAGGAGTGTGTCTTGTCCCCTGGGCTGTTTTGTGCACGCATTTTCTGGACCATCAGAGCTTTGTGGCTGAGTTATCTAGAAATCACTTCTTCTCTTTGATCGCCCACTAGTAGCTTAGATCCACACACTTCAAGCTGCACTCTTTGCATTTCTTTTTGCAACTTTCTAATCTGTGTTTCACTTTTGTCATATTGTTGTGTCCATTCTCTATTTCTTGGGCTTTTCATTTCATTAGGAACTTCTCAGTAAGGAAGTCTGTTACTTCTTTCTTTATTTTCCTTTCTTTTGTTTTCTTCTTTGTTTTTCCTGTTCTTCATGCAGCTTTCCTCTGTATCTTTTGTCCTTCAAACATTTTTATATTCTGTAATCTACTTGTCATAGAATCACAGAATGGTTTGGGTTGGAAGGGACCTAAAAGATCATCTAGTTCCAACCCCCCTGCCATGGGCAGGGACACCTTCCACTAGACCAGGTTGCTCAAAGCCTCATCCAGCCTGGCCTTGAAGACAGCCAGGCTGTCACTCATTTCTCTCTCCTTTCTTGCCTTTTCCTGGTCTGTGTCAAGATACTGCTCAGTATCTCCCCACCAACTTGGAAAGAGGGAAAGCATGGTAAAATCTTCTTGTGTCAGTCTAAAACTGGTAAGTAGTGTATTAAAAAGTGGCCTGGCAGAAAGTAGTCTTTACCAAGACTGTGCCTATTAAGTGGAAGCTGCAATTAAGGGAGACTGAAAAGTGTGAGCAATAGCAAGACCACTAAAGGACGAATCTGCAGCATGAAGGTAAAGCAAAAGCAAATAAAGATCCTTGATCATCAAGAGGAGTTATTAATTAACAAAGAGACCTATTCTGGGTAAAGAGAGTCTAGATAAATACAGTAGAACCAAACCCAAAAATCTATGCTGTGTGTAGAAACATAGTTAATGAGGCTTTTGGCCATTATATTAGCTAACACTTGTATGAATGGCAAAGGTAGGGGGAAATGCAGTAGTGGTTTTTAAAATTATTTCAGTTTTCTTTTTTTTTAAGTTAATGCTAAAATTTGGGAACTTGTTTGTATAAGGACAGAATTTTTTCATCTGAAGGTTCTAAAGCTAGATAGGTTTGGCCTAACTTCCACTTGAAATACTTTTCATACTGCTTAGTATTAGTGGAAGAATAGATGGACTAGAGCTGGCAGGAGGAAACCTGAGACAGTGAGCATTTGTGAAAAGTTACATGAACTTGCCAGTAAAGTTCAGCTGAGGAAATAGTGTCAACGATTTTGGTGAAGGAGGGAGAAATACTTGTTTTCCAGGTTTCACATAAACTGTTTATAACATGACACAAAACCTGATTTGGGGTGAGTTGTTTTTTTCATGGGATTTTTTTGAAAGTCCTTGTAGAGACTGGGTCAGTGAACCTATGGAATATGATAAGAGTGGCAGAATTAGCTGCTCCTGATTCATGGTTTCCATTGAGTGTGAGACTTCAGGAAGAAGGAGATGCCTCCAAAGAAATCTTGTTGACATGCTTAACCTTTTAAAATACAGGAAAAATACAGTTTTAAGGGCCAAATTGCTGGTCCATGATCTACGTAAAATCAGCCTCAGTTAAACTTAATATTGCACTGTTTGGGTCCAGATTTTAAAAAGAAAAAGTAATCTGGAGAAAATTTTAAATACATACATCACTGCTTTCTTCAAATACAAATCATCTCTTGAAGACCTTTACATAGTTGGGAAATATTTTTTAAAAACTTAAATAGAGTTTCAAATGAGTAAGTAGATAAGAAAAAAATCATATGATTTGAATAATTTTTTTTCCATGGAACAGGTGTGTTTGGAGAGATATTTTCTTTGTAAGTGATAAGTCTGCATTTTAAATATGGTAATTGAGAAGGGTTGTATGGTTATGTTTTTTAAATTTAGGATCAATATAAAGGTATTGTTCCAAATGAATAGTTTGAATATGATGTTGTAAGATGTAAGGTATGATAATTAAACCTTTCAGCTATTAAAGACAGTAATGGATACTTGCTATCAACTTTTACTCCAGTTTGAATCTGTTGTATTACCATTGCTTGGAGTATAGTTGCATACTTAAAAGTTCAACTTAAACTGTCTCGGTGCAATATGTATTGTTTCTTTGCATAATATTTTGGTCTTATTATCAAGAAACGGCAACTTTCCATTATTTAGGGCTTTTTGGATTTAGGAAAACAAGATTATTATATAACTATTATTATTCTTTTTTTTTATTGCTTTTAATTTGAATTTTGTTTAACACACTTCTTTCATTTTGTGAGTTTTCCTATGCATGTGCAAAATGTTTCTCCTCAGGCCCCCTTGTATTTCCTGGTCCTATTTTTATGAATCATCGAGAACAGGCTCTAGCCAGAATCAGACCCCATCCAGCACAGCTAAAGCATAAACGGGACAAGCACAAAGGTATTTGGTCTTTTCATTGGCTGGGGTGGAAATAAGCCCATCTTCCCAGTCACTTCTTCTGTGCGCTGAATCTGTCTTTTAGAAGAACTGCACAAAATGGATTCTGCCTTTCTTCTTGCTAGTATCTTGTTACCTGAGGAGAAAACGCATTTAAATGTTGACATTTTTTAAAAGTGTGTTTGGTAGTCTGCATCACCTTTATTTTTCTTTGCCTTTTTTTTTCTTATTATTAATAAGTGTTGTCTTTCTGTGTGTCTCTTCTCATTTCTAATGCTGTCTCATTACCAAGGTCCTTTAATTTTACTGTGAACACCTTCCAGCAACTGACTGCTGAGTTGCATTTGTACTGAGTTTTTTTGAACCTTTGGGTTATGTATATGGGCTGATTGGTTTAATGTAACAATTTTTCAGCCCTGTTAATTCTAGCATAAATTTTTTTTATAGGTGGTTTTTTTTTATACCTTTTAACAAGCTCTTTTTAAAAATGATGTAATATAAATGACATTTTTTTTCTTTTTACTAGCTTTGAATGCGGAGAATACAAATCAAAGCATGTTTTATGCTGCAGTATTCTTGAGTTAAACAGTCTTCTGCAGAATGTAAGAAAGGAGGTGTCTATTTCTGACATTTTTATATGTCTGAAAGGCCAATTCGCTCTACCTCAAGTTTCTAAACGTGTAATTTGTTCAGTTATAAGTGATTTTTTTTTAAATAAATTTTTTAGGCAGAGGTGTTGTATTGCTAAAAGTGTCAACTGAATTTAGTAAAGTTAAGCTGTGTCAAATCTGATTGTAGCTTGTACGTATGTGTATGTGGATGTGGGTGTACATAGGTATTTATATATGAAGGATACGTGTTTAAAATGTAGATTGCAGATCTGATCAAAGTAAGTAGAAAGCTCCTAAAATGGTGAGGGCCTGGAATGCTTCATTTAGTTTTTAAAGAATAGCTAAATATGAAAAGAATTGTTAGAGTAGCATTTCAATTGAATTAACAGAAGTTAGTGATAGTATTTGGCATGTTTGTAAAAAAAATTGTATGACAGTGAAGCCTTTTGGGATATGATTTCAATGTATGGGTGATAGGCCTACCTAGTTATGAGCATACTGGATCATGAAATCATCTTATGTTTATTTTAGGGAAGTGAAAGGAGAATCTGATCCTTTGTATTTTACATAGTATTCATACATTCAGTCTATTTGGAAAATGACGTGTGCTTTAGGTCTTGATGGATTAAATAGAATAACCTATCGTAACCTCAATTACGAGGTTAATTTGTAAATAGAATAACCTCTCCCCTCCCTGGGAGAGATTGGGATGCTGGAAAGACAAAACATCCAGAACCTAAATGGTGACCTGTGAGTAACAGTTTACCGATGACCAGTACTCTTGAGCTGGATACTGCTGCTAGTTATGCTCTTGCAAGCTCTTGAGCCTCACAGGCAAGTAGTGCATAAAGGAGTACACTCATCCTGCTTACATTTGTGCTTTCTCAGCACGTGTTAGTAGCTGGAGCTCACTTCAGCTCAGGTATCTCCTCACAACAGATATATTTATCAGCGTCACTTTGAGGCTTGCGTTGCTTCTTGGTGTTGTAAGAAAATGTAAAGGTCTGTAATGTGGTGAAAGACTTTGTCAGATATACTCCGTAGAATTGAATTTTTCCATGAGGAAGGCTATATCCGAAGACGTGTTCAGTTTCTTCTAGTTCTTTGCATCTCATGCTAAACAGATAAGGAAGATTATGACATCTTTACAAGTAAACTTTGAGACCCTTCTCTGCCTCAGAAGATTGCTTCTCAAAGGATGACCATCAAGAAAAAGATAAGCAGCATACTTCCTCTTATCAGTCATGCTGCTTTGCTTTTACGTTCTGTGTATAGTAAATTATCAAGCAATCCAAGGCAGGGATGTTGACTTCAGTAAAAGGACACTATCACATTGAAATCAGCATGTTCTTTTGTTTTACTTCTGAATGTGATGCTTTCCAAACCAGCGTTCCTAGGTTTCCGCTAAAGGAATCATGTAATTCTTCACACCAAGCAGACCTTCAAGATCTTTCAGCAAGGAAAACTTATTTCAACTGGTAGTACGATGAGGCTGGTACTAAACTTGCTAGTACCTGTTCCTTCTTCTCTCTGCAGCTGCAGAACTTCTCTTGATAGTGATATTCAAACTTGAATGTGAACAGCTTCTTCAAGTCTGACAATTATGGCCTAATTTAAAAAGCGTATTTGATATGTACTTGTATCAAATCTACATTTTTTTCACTTGTGGAATTCTTCTTTTGAATTGCCCAGTTGAAAACTCTTTCAGCTTCATCAAAATACCCATTTCCTGGAAAGCTTGCCATTGTCATCTACTCATTTCACATTTACAGGGTCTGTGTATCGAGATCCTTATTACAGAAAATTAATATTAAGCAAAATCGTAATCTTTCTGATCTGTGTCTGTCTCCATCACAGGTAGATGGAAAGGAGTAAGTACCACCTTCTTGGTATTGACGGAGTGCTTTTGACACTAAGATGAAAAATGAGCTTCTGCTTCATTCTCATTCTTTAATGAGTTAGTGAGTTCCCAGTCTTCATCTCCAGTCCCTGTGGACTTCTTCACTAGACATCTGAGTGAAAAAAAATCAATGAAAGTCTGTAGATATTTCTCAGCTGTAGAAGTGAACTGAGTAGCAATTAAAATCAAAGTAGGCTCCTTAGTCATTTAAGGTTCTGCAGGCAAATACCACTTTTTTCATGTATTTGGGAGTAGTAGCAATGAAAAACATGTTGTAAACAATATAAAACCAAGTGCCCTCAAAAGGACAAGGGTTAGATGAAGCTGAACCTGCATCGATAGAACAAGCTGTCATCAGCCGTTGCGCGAATGCAATAGTGCACACACTCATTTAATTAGAAGTAATATCAAAACAACTGTTCCTTAAAGGGGAGCCATAGAAAAAATTACTACTGAAGTGGAGACTGTTCGGGTTGAATGAATGGAGCCTTGTAAGCAGGGCAAGTTAATTCTTCCACTGTTATCCCACTAGACTACCACTGAACAGAAACTTTGGCTCTTTCTTTGAGAGAGAAGAAAGCACCAGGGAGACACGCTGAAGTGCTTCCTGCTTTCAGCACTGAAGGGTGGGCTCCATAAATGACTTCACAACTGATGGGGTTTCATCTTGGTTATCTTACACAGTTGGGGAAGAAAAATGAGATAACTGGAAATTCAATCAACACCTTCCTACCCACCTTTTCCTTAGAAAATTCTTAAGTCCTGAAGACAGTTTTTCACTCTGTGAAACATGCTCAGAAGTTCTTTTGGCTGATATTGCTACCACCAAAAAAAAAAAAAAAGCTGCTTTCCAGGATCAAAGAAAAAATTCATTCTGTCCCAACAGCAAGGGAAGTTGTAACCTATAATGAGAATTCTGCTGGCAAAAAAAACCCTCAACATTGATACAGAATGACATCTCAGACCTTTGGTCCAGACCTAAGGAAAACCATTTTGTTAGTGTTTCTCAGTTGCTCTAATGGTGATAATGTTTTATTTCTCACTGACCATCTTTGGAGGAGGGAAAAAGGACTTCTGAAGATACTACATGTGTTTCCTCTCCCCACAGGTGAAAAGCTTTAATGCAATATGACAATACACAGAAAATTCTTGGAATAACTCTTTTGCCAACAGACCTTTGTTCAGTTCAGCAGTGACTACCCAAATAAAGCATATCAGTCAAGGTGTACTGGTTAGTATCTGTGATGTTAAACCCTCACAGGATGTCCTAAATGCCTTGATTATCATTTCTAGGCCTTCTACACAACAACATTACTTGAACAAAACAGTCTGTGACTGTAGCTTCTTGGCTGTAGTTCAGGAGAGAAAGAAACCTACCTGTGGTTGTGAAAATCATCCATCTTAGAAGGGCAGAAAAAAACACAAGCCTTTTCGATACTTGAGAGTTTGCCACAGCATTTATTTCAGCTTATAGGTGAATTTTGATATACAGAATCACAAGTGTATAGCACAACGATAATGTAAAAAACTTGCATTCTAATTACAAACTCAGTAATAACCATGTGCTGAGTTTTTGTACCAGTGTCAGCGTTCCCATTCAGCTCAGCCAAAACGTAAATGCAAACAGGAGTTTACTGGCCAAATAATTTACTTCCCTCTGATCCAAAACTCATGAGACAGTTGCTAACCATGCAAGGAAGGCTGAGAGGAGTTCCGTTTCCAGTTTGCTTTTCACACTTAAGCAAAGTAAGATATGTTTGGAAGACAGTTGCTTCCATTCCTACATTCTTAGAGGCTTTGAGAAAATAGCTTTGGAATTTGAAAAGGCCAGCTCTGTGAAACATTTTCCTCTAAAGTAAGTTTATTTCTCAGATAAGGTATTGCAAAATTTGTTTTACTTGAATGCACTTGTGTCTGCATCTTATACAGGAGTACTTAGTGTTTCCTTTAGGGTGATACAGTGTTATTCTTTCATGTGCAACTTTGGAAAAAGTGGGAATATATCTGGAGTTATCTTCTATTTGAAGGCAGTATCACTTATTTTTCATTTGAAAAAACGGCAATCCTCAACTATTTATCAGTAATTGTTGAAGCACTTGGTCAGTTTTTTTTTCTTAGGATGAGGCAGGAAATGCACATGTACCTGTTCAGGTGTCTTACATATCACTTCATATGCCAGTGTGACATGACCAGAATATAACTTCTGCTAAACTTTGTTAATGTGACTGTCCATAGGTGACATGGTTGCTGTGTGTTGCGTTTCCTTCGTTGTAGGAAGTGCGTGCAGCCATGACGCATACTTATTGGATGCGTGCATTCCTGGCAGGTGACTGTTGAAGTGCATTTGCACCGTGGGAGAGCTGGCATTTTTCATTAAAGTCATCAGTGATTGAGGGAGGAGGGGAGACAGAGGCCACAGGTGGAATTCCAGAACAATTAACTTTTCTGAAAAGCTCTGTGAAAGAGGGAAGTAAGTAGGCTGCTTGCTGAATAAATAGTTCTGGTGGCAATATTAACCCCTAGAACCACCTCTTGATTACTTTGGCATGTAGAGTTTAATACAAAAGTAGGCATAAAAAGTTCAAAGGTACTGTATTTGAGAAACAGCCAGATTGTTAACTAAAATACTAGAAGCATGTTAAGGCAGAATTACATGACTAGGAAGAAAAATTCTGTATTTGCAGAGGTTTTTTTATTGTTGTTAAATAGTGGTTCTGTCTCTTTTTTGTGTTTGCTGCAGACAGACCTTCAGAAACATTTCCTCTCATGTGCATGCAGTCAGGTAGTACATAACTGACGCTATTGGAAAAACCTCAAAAATCCCATGGCAGTTCTTAGAGCCAGACAATTCCTTTACCATGTTTCCATTTCACACGTATCCAATATGTAATGCAAGTGTAATTCTTTTTGATAGAACCCACAATTTCAAAGAGATTCTTTACTGATGCTATTAAACCTAATTCTTCAAAAGCGTTACTTAATACCTGAGTGCACGGTTCCTTTACAGATGTAAACTACATGGAGTTTCATATAATTTCTGTACTCAGTCATCACTAGCAAGAGCTTTGTTTCCAGAATAGTAAGATTTGTTAAAACTGATTTGTAATAAAAGTGCTAAAATGACTTTATCAGCAGTTTCCAAGCAATAAAAAGTAAAGAAAGTTTGAGCAATATGTATAAAACCAGAGTTATATAAAGGCTAAAAGATTTGTAAGTCTCTAAGTGCTATGCTGCACACGATGACTTCTAGCAATGATTGTTCTGAAAAACATGTATGAATTCTAAATAGACATCTAAATTAACACCTTGAATGCTTTGAGCAGCAGTTGTTTCACTGTATCAGTTTTTTTAATAAAGCAGTAATCGGTCAGAATTATCAGAGAATGTGGAATCTCCTTATTTTCACTTTATGTGTTTTCTCTCATTTCTCTGCTAGAGGCAGTGTGACTAGTGTCACATATAAAATTTTTCCCTGTGAAAATGCACTTTCTTTAGAGCTTTCATTGCCCACTTTCTACACAGGTATGGCTGTTTTAATGGGGATGAACATGTCTGTTTCTCCGTCATATTGGTTTCCTGGTAGTGTTATGCAACCCACCTTCCTTTGCAGTCCTGTGATCATCTAGTTTAATTATATTGTAATTGTTAAATTTAAAACATTCTAATTTTTGGAGAAGATAGTGGCTTTCAAGAAGTTTATGAATAATACATTTACTTGTCACTTCAGTACTTTTATCTGATGCAAGGGCAGTTTGATTTTAGGAACCAATAATACACTTCATACTTATGAACGAAATCACAGAAATGATGACTAGAACTCCATCTTACATAGGAGAGTAGCAGTGAGTCTGTCAGCATTGTTGGAAATGAGTTACATAATTGTTAGTTAGGTGAAATAAGGACTAAATTACCAAGTTGGAGTCAAGTAAAATCCTTAACAAATAGGAATTGAAAAAAACCAGACCAGGCTATGCCTATTGAGTTTACAGCGCTTTCTGTCTACTTTGTAATGCTATTTTCGCTAAGAATGAAAGTGATGGTTATTCAGCAAAACCTCTGAAGTTGTTTGAATTTCCTGTTTTGCTGGTCATTCTTATCTGCTCTTTGGAATTTTCTGCTTTAGAGGATGTGATGTTTTCCAGTGTGTAACTTTGTATTAGGTTGTTTAGAAGTAGAGTTTCTGTCATCTTTCACATCTACTCTGAGGCTACATTTTGAGCTGTCTCTCTTACTATTCTGTTCATTTTTCCTCCTCCCTTACAAATGGCAGGGTGGGCACACTATTCTTGTGGTACTCATACTTTTAATATAACTCCTTTAAAAGACATGGGATGTAATTCTAAGTTTTGTTTGTAGACGGAAGTGGAGAAAGAGGTGAGAAGGATGCCAGCAAAATCACAACCTATCCACCTGGGGCTGTCCGCTTTGACTGTGAACTGCGAGCCGTACAAGTCAGTTGTGGATTTCACCATTCAGGTAAAATCAAATAAATCAATGTTAATTATAGCGTAGAAATTTTTTTATTGTTGTTCTATGTGTTTTCAATGCTTTGTGTTTAATTTTCAATAAGGATGTACACGGGAGTGTTAAAAGCTGAAAAGGTTGCAGTGGTCATGCGGGACACGGGAGTGAAAAGGACCATAAGTGTCATATACATCAGGGCTTTTAAGCAGTTTTTGAGACATTTGAAAACATCTGCATGGCAGAGCTCTAGCCTTGCAAATAGCTGCTAGCTGTGATGGGTTGTGGAATCTGGTATAGATCAATTAGTGTTTCTGTAGGGATTATTAACTGTGCTGTTCACAAAGGCTAACCAGCACTGGTGCAGTACCGTGTTAACATGTGCATGTGTCAGAAAAATATTCTTTTTTGTTTGTTTTTCAGTGGTTTTGATGGAGAATGGTGATGTTTACACATTTGGATATGGGCAGCATGGACAACTTGGGCATGGTGATGTCAATTCCAGGTGAGCTGGTGATGAAAGGCTGTGACTCTGTATTGCTGTACTGCTGCATAAGAAGTGGCTATATTTCTGTTTCTCTGTAGCTAGCAATATGAAAACTCAAATATTGTTTGAATAAAGTTGTTAATCTCTTGTTCCACACTTATTCCCCATAACACCCTGGATATAGATACAATGATACAGCAACAGTGCGGTTGTACACTATAAGTAATTTGTTTAATACATGAAGGCTTACATGCATAGTTATTATCATAGCTTTGATAAGTGAGTTTGAAATGCTTTTCTCTTCAATTCTCCCTACATATGAGAGAATGACACTGAAATCTCATGAAGATTTCATTATTTCTGTGAAATACTATATATGCAGTAATTGAAATAGTATGATGTTCTAAACCTAGATTAACCTGTTTCTGTTACACAATTGATAGTAGTTCAGTTATGACAAAATCTCATTTTTGCTTATTATTAATCTCCAAAATTAAGTCACTAAGCTTGGGTCTCAGCTGCGTTTTGTAGACTCTTATTTTGGATGTCAGCATGAGTGTGATGTGTGCTTTCTTTGCTGTCAGTGGAAACAGAGAAGTCAACAGAGTGTGGAGAGCTGTTTGACTAACCACCCACTACTTACCTACTTTAGGTATGCTCAGTAGCTCTGTAAACTTTATGGGCTTGATCTCCACTGACTACCGTGGGAGCATAGATAACTAAATATAGGTGTCTTTAATATGAAGGTCAATATCACCCTTAGTATCTCATCCTTAGTATCTTATCTACTCACTAAAGTAAAAAAATCAATGTCCTGCCATAAAAGAAAATGTAATAATATTCTTTGGGCATGTGCATATACCATATAACACACAAGATGGGATTTTGAATAGTAGTGATCGTTGAGGCTTTGTGTATGTGCAGTATCCTTATGTAAAAGGCATACAGAGGGAAGCATCCACAACCAGTCTTCAGTTCTCTCCTTTCTCTTTCATCAGTGAGATGAAAATTACTGAACGTCTGTCCTCCTAATCTCTTTGGAGACTTCCAAATAATTTCTTTTGTCAAGTTCCTGAAGAAATCTTCATCATCTTAAAACTTTTGTTGGATTCACTAAACAAAAGGGGGAGAAGGAAGAAAGAAAGGAAGTTTACTGAAAGTGTTACTTTGTATTGACTGCTGTGCCTAATAGTAGTCTCTAAACCCTTACCCCTACTCAGTTTTCATTGGACTGGTGAATGCAGTCTGTTTCTGCCTATGGTACAGCCATATCACGGAAGTACTCTGTTTTTCATTCCTGGAATTCCTTGGATATTTGTTCTAAGCTACAACTGCTTTAACTGGCAATTCAAGTCACTACTAGAATAGGGCTAGTTTCTGTTTTGAAGTCTGAAGAGGCACAAACAGCAGTGGCATTTGTACTGGTAACTTAGTGTCTCCAGTTTCCAGCTTTGGTGAAATCGCTCAGCTTTTCTGAAGGCATCGGGGCTATCTGCTGTATCTGTCAGAATTTCAGGCAGTAGACCTCACATCTGTTGCTTATTTAGGCGAGTGGATGGAGACCAAATGTAGTTCCAAGTGAGATGCTAGAAGGGAACTTGAAACATCGTGTGCCAAAGGATAGTGCTTGACCAGGCCTGGAAGCTGAGGAGGTACGAACGACTTGACACTGACCTTGGTGTCATCCCACAGCAGACCCTAGACACTGCCTGAAAAAAGCCTTGAAGAAATTTGGAGTATGTCCTGTGCATGAGAACTGGCTATAGTACTATATTGCTGTTTAGCACCATCATTCAAATGATAATTTCCTCATTGATGTACTTCTTTTTCCAGCTTTAAGTAGAGATCTCTCCTCTGTCCTCACAGTAAGGGACTCAGAGAAGGAAACAGGGAATCCTTATGCAGAGTTCCACCTCAGTTGGGATGCAGTGGTGCTCAGATGGCCAGCTCCAGCCAGGTCAGTGGTATGTCAGTCATGCAGTGTGTCACATTGCCCGTATTGAACTCAGGAAGACCATCATCTTCTGAACGCAGGAACTGATAATCTGCTCTGTTTCTTGGAGAGAGAGAGAGGGAAGGAAAAAAAAAAAGTAATACTTAGGCAGCCTAACTCGTATTCCTAAATATGGGTGCCCCTGAAATCAAGAACTGTCAGGGAAAATGCAGCAACTCTCATTTTCATCTGAGGGAGTCATCTTCATTGACAGATGAAGCAATGATGCAAGTTCCTGGGTAGCGATTGATGACTTATCCTTTCAGAGACTACCATCTTGCAGCATAAAGATTTAGTAGTGACACTATATTTTAAAAAGTCTTGAAAATGCTTAGCAGTTTTGAACTCTGCGCATTTGTCCAGACATGTCTTTCTCCTCTATTAGGAGGATTCTGGACTCCTCTATTAGAACAGGGTAAACACTACAAATTCTTCCTCCCACATCAGTAGGAATGTGAGGCACATTACATGCCCTGGAAGGACTTTAAACTGGTTTTTATGCACACAAGCAAACAAAATAGCAGGTGAACAGGATGATGTGCATCTCAATAAATCGTTAATTGAGCTGAAATGGTGTGGAGGGACAAGCAAAAGTCTGTAAAGACTTCGCAGATGGACCACTTGAAAATGCAGGTGATTTGGTTCCTGGGAGGTAGTTTTGGTTTTTTCCCTACCAGTATGCTGGAGCTATTAAACTAGTCGGCACAGGTTTTCTGTGTAAAATTTCTGATGTAAAATCCACAGGGACAGATGTTGATGAGCTATTCATTACATGAAGGATTTTTCACTTTCTGCTTCTATTTTCCTCAAATTAGATGCTGGTGAATAGAAACTCATTGGAAGCAAGAAATGCTTTGCAGTATCTAGCCTTGCTGAAAAATATTCTCTCTTGTATTTGGGTAGGCAGAGGCCTCCTTGTTGCTGATGCTTCTCTCAATAAGTTGGGACTTAAAACTCCAAGATCTTGCTGTTGCTGTTCAAAATTTGCCTGCATTTCTTGTACAAAGCACTGACTTCAACAAGCACATAACTGATGGTCAAGCTCCAAAAATGGGACAACTGAAGTAAGAAAGCCCTCATGTGGTTTTGCTTCCAAAGTTTCAACAATAACATGGAAGAAAACTGAGCAGACCTTCCATAGACAGTCAACTATGTTCTGTTTGAAGACAAACAATAGCTCTGATAGGACTGATTCTAGATGCATTGTCTGATTATTTACTTCAGTAGTGCAGTGCACGTCTTATTTACATATTTTCACCAAACTTCTGGTTACTCTAAAATGTAAATATTTTTAAAATCATTAATTATTTATTAATAACCAAATCTGCCTGCAATAGGCAGGAGTTACTCCTGGTTTCCTTTTACCCAAAGCACAGTACCAGCCCATGGTGAACCTGAATTTACAGCACCACGGTCAGCTGCCCCAAGTGATATCTGACAGCCAGCTGTTGCCTGGATAAGTACCATGGACAGCGATTGCTCGAATAGTTAAGGCGGGGTTTTCAAAGATCACATCTAGTCTCAGGAATGCTTGTCCTTCTGAATGGAAGACAGTTGCAGTGTGGACAGCCAAAATGCATTTGGAACTTCTGCAGCATCCTGAAATAGCTGATGCATGTCTATCAGCTGCTTTTCATTCAGCAATCTTACACTTTCCCAAGGGATCTCAGGTTACTTTCTGTATAGTTGAGGTTGGTCTTTTATGATTGACCTATGTCATGTACCTGTGTCATATCCAGAAGCCAAAGTATCTGTGAGTTTGACACCAATGTGACCTTCAACTCCATCCCAGAAGAATACTTCATGCTTTCTTACTACATTCAAATGGAGAAATCCTGGTTGTCAAAACTGTGTTCAAAGAGTCTTTCAGACTCATGTCTATTCTGAGCTTTTCGGTGTTGAATTTAAGAGGGATAGGGAAATATTCAGTAGTTTCACAGGCTTTAAATTCCGTATACATCAGTCAAACCAGCTTATTGTATTTTTCCAGATCCTTTCTCCATTTAGAAAGTTAAAAATTTTTCTGTAGTTGTACTTTAATTTTTTGATGTAGTTAAGTGTCTTAAGCTTTTTCCTGTTCAGTTCTTCTGTTGATACACTGTAGTTGGCCATTTGTAAAGCTGGGTGATCTTAATAAGAGAGCTGTTTAAGACGGTAACATAATACATCTCTACGTTAGTTGTTTGTCTGGTTCTGCTCTGCTGCTGCCAAGTGAATATCATATACAGCATTCAAATAACGTTGATGATAGATTCATTTGGCAAAATAGAGAAATAGTTTTGGTGGTATTAGTTTAGCTTTTATGCATCAAATAGATTAAATGTTCACTTTTTTTTAAAGTATAAGATTGATATTTCCATGCCTGCAGCTATCATAATTTTGAGAGAGACAAAAAAACTTCAAACAAAATATTTCCATTTAACGGGAATGCTTTTGGATTAGTTCTTAATTATGTTTTGTTTCTGCTTCACTGCCTTTTTGAGCTTCCTTAAAGTTAATGGGAGGCACATGTAATGTTTCCTCTGTTTTTAAAATGTTTCCTCATTGATGCTGCTAAACTTTACTCTGTGTATAATCTTACTGGTGTCCAAAGCCACGTGTCTGTGCATTTCTTCTAAAAATCCTAATTTCTTCTAAATTCAAGAATGTCTTGTTGTGCATCCTCTGCTTTATACTACCCTTCAGTCTCTCCATCTCCACTAGAGTCACCCACTGGTAGCTACGTTCACCCCGAAGGAATTATTCCTTTCTGTTTACCTGTTTTCCCTCTCCTTCAGGTCATCAGCCTATCTTCATGCTGCATTCCTCTGTTCCACGTTTCCATATCTTCACATCTTCCACGTACCCTTTCCTTACTCAACATACAATGCCTATCGTTTCTCCCACTTCCTTGACTTTTGTTTCACCTGCAATTCAACCAGAATCAGAACATGCAGACAACCCACCTTTTTGCATATCAGCTGCTAAACAATGGCTTGGTAACCATAGGCTGACGCTGTGTTTTTATTCCACCATAAAACAATCTGTTGTTATTTTAGATTAACCTACTTTTGAAAGTGCATGTTTAAAAGTAAGTTTCAATAGTGCTGCTGTTCTGTGAGGTCAGACTTCCCAAACGTAGTTACTTGGTAATAACTTGCTCTTCAAATTCACAGTCTTTCCAAGTCCAAATTAAATTTGAAGTCTAGGTAGACATTCATTTTGTAATTCCTTGTCTGATATAGTTCTTGTAGGCTCCTGTTCACTTTGTTGGGAAATAGATAAAAATTTTGTTTAGTAAGTATCTCATACTTCTTTCTTTTTATCTTACCTGCTATTTCTGTTCTAAGTCATCACTTCAAGTTTTCTTTGTTTGCTTCTTGAACATAGTCTTGTTTGTTTGGTTGGTTTTCCTTCATTTTTAATGGAATGGGAAATGGATTTTTCTTATACCTGTCCATATTTGGAAGGCACATAGATTATAATTTTTCACTTCTTTCTGGAAAAAAGTTTGGAGAGGTTTGCTGTTCCTTGAGTTTATGATTTTGATGGAGAGCAGATTTTAATGCCTTATTCTCCATTAGAAAGCTGATGGAGGTGGGTAGATCTTCTCTTTCTTTTATTATTCCCCAGATGGTGATCTCAGGAGGGCCATAGCAATATTGCTTCTGGTAATTGTACAAGGTTACCAACCACATAAGGTTTTGATTGCATTATAACGCAAACAGTTTGTTAAGTGTTTAACCAGTGTCCTCACTACAGAATTCTTTTACTGCTACAGTTTATTGCAGTATACTCTATATACATATATAGATACAGTTATATAAGTGTAACTACAGAAACATTAATCCTACAATTACACATTAACTTAACTGTTTTTATTCTTTGCTAATTTCTTAGTTTAACTGAAGAGGGTGTAGTTGCCCTGGGTTCCTCTAACAAGAGGGTGTAAACTTAAATATCCAGTAGAGTCTTTCAAACCTCTGTTCATCTAATATGTAAGGTGTTCCTTGACTCTGGTTCCATATAGTACGTGAACATAGTGAATGTATTTCACAGTGATTGAAATCCTTATAATACAAATGTACGTGTTAAATGTTTATAAGCATTTGTTGATACAAAATTAATTTATTTTTATATAGGGGATGTCCCACTTTGGTGCAAGCATTACCAGGTCCTAGTACACAAGTTACTGCTGGGAGCAACCATACAGCTATTCTCTTAATGGATGGCCAGGTTTTCACATTTGGAAGTTTCTCAGTAAGGAAATAATTGCATTTACTTATGAGAATAAGCTAATAGTTTATGTATTGTTCAACGACCTGTCAAAACTGTTTGCTTTTACTTGTTCTTATAGAGCTACTCATGACTTCTTCTGTGTCTGTTATGTTTAAAAATGTGGCCTCTAACATTGTTATGATTAGAAAAGCTCGATGCCAGAGATTCTTGGTGGTTTTTTCTATTTTAATGAAGATGGTGATTTAGAACTGGGTTATTTTATAAGGTGGACCAGTTTTCTCAAACTCTTATTGTTGCAAGCTTGGATGCAAATAAGTATGTGTTGCATGTTCTATTATCTCCATTCATTAGAAAAAAAAATGTGTCCTGTTTTCTTTCATAGAAATGACAATGAGTTGCAGAAGTTATGTTTACACTTGAGGGGAGATTATTGATCAGTATAACAGCATAACTCTGGTACTCTTCTTTCGTACCTGCATGGCATATATTCTCTTATGTCCATGTAGAATCTATTCTTATATTCACTGAATAAGCACCTCCACATCGTTTAGTTGCCCTTCGTCCTGACTGTAGGCCTTTGTGCCTGCTTGTCTTTGGAAATACCCCCTCACTGCAGTCTCTCCAGTCATCTGTTGCTCATGCTTTCCCACTAACGTCCTTTTGGCAAAAGCTAGAGTATAGGTATTGAGCTGGTTTTATATGCTTTAAAAACTGTGTACCACCAAACACACAGAAGTGAAATTGCATCTCTTGAAATCTGTCCTTTTACAAAAACTAAAAAAGACAAAGACTGAAATTTTAGAATTTTTAAAATCATGTTTTGAATTGGGAGTGTGCCACAAAATGACTCATATTAGGTAATATTTTGTTGTTTTCAAACTTTAAATAAGAGCTTTGGTGTCCATGTTTTTGTCAAAAGTGCCTTGAACAAGTTTAAGCTTTGACTGTAGTGAAACTTAGCCTCTGAAAAACCAAATTCACTCTCAAAAATAGGATTTAAAAGCCTGTCTGTTGAATGAGGTTTTTATCTTTTGCTAAAAGAAAAAATAATTTTTGACTGCCTGTTTTATGTGTCTGGTTTTAACATTGTAATGCTTGAAATGCTTGAAAGCTTGTTGAAAGCCTCATAAAGTCAAGACAAGCTGAAAAGTTTGACAAGCTGAAACGTTTCTTGAAGATGTCTTCACTGAGTTTACTTAGTGTTATGTAGAAAGAGAGTTGAGTAACATGCTGGACAGAGGCTATTTGCTGCACATGCATGCTTCTTCTCCCTTACAGTTTTAAATAAAAAGCTACCCTGCCTTCATTAGCCTGCAGTGAATTTCCTTTGCCTGAGTGAGGTAGATGGAGTCTGAACAGGTTCATTGCAGCAGTTCTTACTACATACTTTGGTACAGTATGCGAACTGTAGGTCCATCTCTCTGTAACCAGTTGTATGTAGGAGATAAGGCCCTAGGTCTCCAGGTTAGGATGTTAATGAACATGTGTAGTGGTGCTTGCTTAGGTACTTTATGCTCTTTTTAGCACAGGTTTGATGTGCTATCAATTTGGTACATTTGAGAGGTATTTGCTCTGTAAGATTTACAGTCCATGTGAGTTCAGAATTGAGTGGAATTTAGACTGTCTGAATCTGAATGTAGATTTTTTTCCTATTAATTCATATCTTCTTTGGCACTGAAGTTATTCGGATATTGAGTATTGAAGAATAAATGCTTTTATATCTGATTCTGGAGATGGAAAGGAGGGTTATCCATCATTGAGAGCTTGAGTTGCATTAAAAAAAGTCCTATCAAAACCTAACCGAATGGGGAGGACAATATTTGTCAATAACTTGTTCCTTGATTTTAAATATGCGTAACACTTCGCTAGAGTAGCGGTTGCTTTTTGAAGATAGTTTTGTGGTAAGCTATCTCTTCCAGATTACTAATTTTGTATGTTGAAACTATCGAAGTAACTTGTTCATCTTTGAGACTTGCTGTTACTTACTAATTCTTGCATTCTCTTTATAGAAAGGTCAGCTCGGTAGACCAATTCTGGATATGCCCTACTGGAACGCAAAACCAGCACCTATGCCTAATATAGGATCGAAATATGGACGCAAAGCAACATGGATTGGAGCGAGTGGAGACCAGACTTTTCTTCGGATCGATGAAGCTCTTATTAATTCTCATGTGCTCGCTACATCAGAGATATTTGCAAGCAGGCATATAATAGGCAAGAACTCTTCTATAATGTCTTAAGTGTGTAAAGAAGTAAAAAGTATGAAAGTAGAGAAAAAATAGTAGAGAAGTATAAAAAGTATTAAAAAATAGCTTCAGTCATGCACATAGAGGGGCAACAAGTCAAAAAATGTGAATGGAAGGAATTAAAATTTTCTGAGTTCCTAGTTATACTGGACATGGTGATCCTAGGTCCTTAGGAAATTAATTTTATTAAAAAACAAGAACATAAAAGTCCCGACGCTTCTTGCACTTAAATCTTACTACAGTTCATTTTATGCTGTAGCAGTATATCTATTCTTCCCTAGTACATTAATGTTTCATGCATAGAAAATGCTATGTAATGAGTGAAGTCTTCATGTTCTTTCTGCTCTTTCTTCTCCCTGATCTAGGTTTGGTACCAGCTTCAATATCAGAACCTCCTCCTTTTAAATGTCTTCTGATAAACAAAGTAGATGGCAGTTGCAAAACATTCAATGATTCTGAGCAGGAAGACCTTCAAGGTTCTGGTGTGTGTCTGGATCCTGTCTATGATGTTATTTGGAGGCAAGTGTGGATTATAGCTATTAAAGTTATAGTATAGAAATCCTTCTTAGAATATTTTGGGAGGCTGGAGATTTGATTATGCTCATTTCCCTAATAAATGAAAAACAATTTTTAGTCTTCCATGTATCTTTTCACTTGTTTTGGAAAATTTGTTCAAGTTAGTCCACAACAAACATTATCTCTTTCCTGAATTTTGGATTTCTTTTCTTTTTTGCAGTGTTCTTAATGATTGGGACAGCCCAATCTATTCCACTTATTTACTCTTTTTATTCTTCCCTTACTTTCCTCCATCTACTTAATACTTTACTGAATCATTTTCTTGCCATACCCAGCTTCCACAACGTGGTGTCTTAGATCTTCATCTGTCCTTGGACACATCCAAGAATGGGTCCAACATTAGTGGTTAAGACTTGAACAGGAGCAGGGTTGGAGTAATAATATTCTTTTCAGTTGTGACATTTTGGGAGGTCAGAACCAAGGTGCTTATTTAGATGGTTTAGACACTCAAATTACAGTTGTATTTATTTGAGTGTCTTTGGGGATGGTTGCTTTCAGTGAAGTCTTTGAGCAGGCATAGATCATAAGCCCGTGTTCCAAAACAGAATCATAACATCTAGTTCTTCTGTAATTATTTAAAAGCTATGTTAGCTAAGATTGGGGAAGAAGTTTGAACTGTCATCTTAGTGCAGGTGATGGATGATGTTTAAACTGTTTGAAGGCTTAGGCAAAACAAGAATAATCCCTTAGAATAAAGCAGGAAACCAGCTAGTCTGCATTCATCTGGAAAAGACCATATCATATAGGATCATATCTTTAAAAGATCATTGTGTCCATAGGCAACTTTCATCCTACTTTGGGTGTCTTCATCCAAAATACAGATTCAAGAACTTAGTAGCCACTTAACATTGAAGTACATGTATTTGTTAGGCATGTTCCTTTATGACATCTAAAGTTCCTTGGACGGCTGTGGTCCTGCATTATGCACATCCTCAGGATTGTTTGAATCTCATTAGCTAGGTACCAATTCTTACTTAAATTGTGCTGAGATTTAAAATAAGGAAGAGTAGCACCACCATCCCTTAAAGATCTCAGTTGTGATTTATCAGCTTGATTAAAACACACTGAAAGACTCAGTTTATGAAAAATCCAGTTATTGATGGCCATGGGAAAGCAGCAAGTTTCAGAGGAGAAAAGGTGATGACACTTGATGTAGCACACTAAAATTGTATTCAGCTTGAGGAGGTTCAAAGTCACTTTTTAAAGATTATGGGTAAACATGGGTTGAGGTGTTTTGCTGTCTTGCAGAATTTTGGGGACTGTAGAACTAAATCTGGAGCTTAAATACTGAACTGAAGAATGGATTCTTGGGGTCTGTGAAGATACATTTCTGAGTTTTATTCCATTCTTTTTTAATAGGAAATATTAAGGCAGTCTAAAGAGGGGTATTCATTAACATGTCTCTTAGTAGTAGTGAAATATTTGTTACATTAATTATTTTTCCTGGGCATTTTTATTCAGGCCTATTTAAATGAAGGGGCAGTTTCTCTGTACAGAGACAATATTCTTGATTACATAGACTTTAAAGATTTTCTTCACAGCTTTGTGACTTACTTTTTCAATTAACTGTGAAATTCAAGTAGTTAAATAATTTCATATGTATATATATGTGTGTATATACTTGCATATTGCTCACTGCTTGAAATCCTGAATGCTTATGGTGTCCTATGGTATTTTTAGTTAAAACTACTTCTTTCTGCTTTGGCTTAGACCATCTTAGCCCCATTTGGATTTTTAGAACAGTGTATCAAATGAAAATTCCTTTTGTGCCTATTCAGAACACTCCAATAGGCCTGTGTCTTCTCATGGTTTCTTCCTTTTGCATAGTGATATCAAAGACTTTATATTCTTCATTTTCTTTTCCTCCATATTAATTTATGGTATAGAAAGTCTTTGCATGCCTTTGTTTAAGCTGCCCTTTTCTATAATCTCTTAAAACTTATAAGCTGATGTTATCCATTTTAAAAGCCCTAACAAAATATGTTGGATTTCTCAAGATCTTTTTACTCTTTTTTGAAGGTGAGTGACCCTTTAACTTCCTTTTGGCATCTCTGTTGTTTTTGAGCATATCTGCGGTTATCTCTAGCACTTAACTAGTTATATCATGCTTTTTAATAGTTGAAAAGTGTCCAACACTTTCTGAAATTTGTAGACCCGTAATGTGACCATTTGACTTGAAGTACACTAAGAATGTTTTTGTGTCTTTCCATTTGCTAGTGTGTTAACCTAGTAAAATTTATATGTAATTGGTGTAATGATGTTCCCTTTTAAGTGCTTGTACTAGGGGAACTACATTTTGTATTAAATAGCTAAAAATATTTAATTATTAGTTAAATCTTTGGTTTTTTTAGTAGGTGAAAGGTTGCTTTACTCTGTTTTGTCTTGCTCTAGGTTTCGACCAAATGCCTAAAAATACTTAATTATTAGTTAAATCTTTGTTTGTTTTTTTTAGTAGGTGAAAGGTTGCTTTACTCTGTTTTGTCTTGCTCTAGGTTTCGACCAAATGCTAGGGAACTGTGGAGTTACAATGCGGTAGTTGCCGATTCCAGACTTCCCTCAGCTCCAGACATGCAATCCCGGTGTAGTATTTTGAGTCCAGAACTTGCTCTACCAACAGGTTCCAAAGCTCTAACCACCAGATCTCATGCAGCTTTGCACATTCTAGGTATATATTTATAGTTGATGAGTCAGAAGCTTACATGAAATAAATAAATAAGGCAACATTACTTAATGTATAAATGATTTGTAATCTAACAGCTTTCTAACTTTTTTGAGTTAAAATTTTACTTTGTAATCTTTCACCATTGCTCTTAACACTTATGATCTGGCTGATATGCATTAATTTTAATCAAAATAGTTATCTTCTGCCATCTTCATGATGCTATAGGATTTTAGAGTTCTGATGGAACCTGCTACTAGAGGTCAGCAGAATAAAGTAAGAGACATACCTAGATGGTCCTTTTGAACAGTTTGCAGGATAAAGTCACTACAGTTAATTTAACCTAGAGTCTCCAAAAGACAAGAAAAAAGTGCTCTTAAAGAAGCTATTTTTATTATAAAGTAAATGCAGTATCCAAAATTAGAATTTATTCTTTGCAGTTTTGTATAATGGGTCACTAAGAGTAATATGATCTTCTTTTATAGCCTAAAAAGCCTGCCAAAACAAACAATAATCACACTGTATTCTTGTATAAACTGGTCATGTGCAACATACCCAGTGCTTTAAAGCACAGCTTTTGAAGTTATTTTAGCTCACTTCCTCACCAATTGCAATGAGCGATCAGTTCCTTGTCCTGTTCCCTTTATTGTGTGTTAGAGGCGATAAAATTGAACTTGAACCGTACTTTTTTTGTGTCTGAGTCACAGTATGGAATGTTAGGTACCCATATGTTTGAAATAAGTACCTTTATGAAGGCTGTCATATCTGCCTGTAATTCAGTTACTACTACTTCAACTCTTTTTTGGTAATATGGGAAATAGAAAACAAACATAAAAAACCCCAACCAAACAAACAAGAAAAACCCAACCCTGAAGATTATGTTGACAATTTATTTATCATTGGAATGGTTGCAAAGTAAACTTAGTCACATTTCTTGGTTATTCTGGAAAATGAATAAATTAAATGAATTTGATCTCCAATAGCAAACCTTGAGATTCTATTGCAGTGACCCCTGACTTAATCAAAGCTGTGATATTCGGTTTAGGGACAAAGCAAGTAGGTTGCTTTGATCTTTTAAACTTGTGTTCATTTCCATTTCATTGGTTATAATCAACAGTAAGAAATTGAGTTCTTGGTTTTGCTTTCTTTTAGGTTGTCTTGATACTTTGGCTGCTATGCAAGACCTAAAAATGGGTGTAGCAAATACCGAAGAAGAGACTCAAGCAGTAATGAAAGTTTATTCTAAAGAAGACTATAGTGTTGTTAACAGATTTGAAAGTACGTATGCAGTAAAATTTTATAGCGTAAGTTGACCAGGCTTATGGAATAAATAACTTAAAATAGATTAACTGTATTTATGTTGTTGGTTTTGTTTTTTTTTCCCCCCTGCAGGTCATGGAGGAGGCTGGGGTTATTCAGCCCACTCAGTAGAAGCTATCCGTTTCTGTGCTGATACAGATATTTTGTTAGGTGGTCTTGGTCTTTTTGGAGGTAGGGGTGAATACACTGCTAAAATAAAGGTGAGGTTTTAAAATTTTGTTTTAAACAATTATGTCTCAAAATCAGAACTTTAGAAATGCCACCTGAAATCACGATTAATTTTATTTCTTGGTGAAGGAGTTGTTTACTCTATATTGCAAGTATCAGGAGTAGAACTAGAAGAAGGCTTCTCAGGGCAGTAATGAACCTTATGTAGCTAACGTGAGTGAAGTAATGTTCTAAGAATTGCTTTTCTTAATTGTCAAGAATTTCCCCATTCTTACGTTCACTAAATGCTATGCTATAGTATAGGTGTACTGAGCAGATGTGGCTGTGAGTAGAATGTATTTACACAAGGCTTGGAGGTCCACCTGCAGAAAATTTGTGTTGTGGGCTTCGTGTTGTTATGTATCCTGACAGAGAAGTGATTCTGAGGGACTGCTTCTCAAAAACAGAATCCAAGTGCTTATCAGTAGCTAGAATTCCTGTGGTACCAGCTGAGCCATTGCTTCTTACCTGTCCCTGCCACGTCTTTCTCATGCGGCTCTCTGAACAGCTTCTCAGCTGGGATTCTTCAACTGAGAGCGAATGACACCAAACATACTTCACTCTGCTTTGTGCCAGGCATAAAGACAATAAGGGCTGGAGCATGTGTGCTGTTTTAGAATAAAGAAATAAACCTGGTTTTGGATATAAAAGCTCACATAAACACACAGTGTGGTAAGAGCTCTGGTTTCTGATAAGTAACTTCTGTTCTTGCATTTAATAAGGGTTTCAGAAACTCCCCGAAATACATTGTGTGGGAAGGATCTAATATCTGTCTGAAATTTATATTAGATGTGTGTATGCAGAATATGCTGTTGTTGTTACTTGTTATTTAGTGGGTTATTGAATTTTCTTTTTCTATTTTCAGACGAATAGGTTTTAAGGAAATTGATGGCATATGCTTAGCAGTAACATTTGCATAAGACAACAGGACATCCAGAATGAGCAATTGTTCTTTATTCTGGTTTAGCACTATGACTGAGAATTGCAAATGATTAAGGAAAGCCAAGAAACTTAACAAAAATGTCATGACTAATGTTTAAATACTAAAGGTAGTAACTCTATGAAAGCACTCTGGTATTATTTTTTTCAATTTGTTTCTGCTTCTCTAGGATTAGCATATAGCCACGATAAGATTTGCCAGTCCTACCACAGATAAACCCTTTATTAAATAGGTGTGTGGAAGAGAGGTCATAGACATGTACTGTGGTCCTTTCTCAAAGTGATCAAACCATAAAAGTAATTTTTGACTGAGTAAGAAACCCAGGTCCTTTTGAAGAAGGTATCATCTTTTGTCCTAGTCAACAGCTGTTTATGACGTTGTTGGCTAGATCTGCTCAGCTCTCGAGCTGTCCCTTTTCAGGGAAGTTGCTTGTGTCTTCAGTACATTTCAGTCTATGACAGAAAGCCTGCACCTTCTGCTCCACTTTGCCTTTTTTAGATGCTCTGCATTTGACTTGGCTGCAAGGTTTAGGGAGTTTCTCCACTTAAGAATGTATCTGGGCATAAGGCTGGGAGTGTCAATTGCTGCTTTTTAACAGTTAATGGTATTATAAAATCCTGATATCCAGATGGGAATATGTCTGTCAGTGATGATAACCAGCAATGACTTTTGGGAAGTGGAAAGAATAGTAGTAGGCAGTTTCTAGAATGCCAGACAGGAAAAAGTGGTATTATAAGATTTCTAACACCTAAAGTGTATTTCTGCTTTTTTTTCATTCTTCACCAGTTGTTTGAATTGGGTCCGGATGGGGGAGACCATGAGACTGATGGAGACCTCCTTGCTGAAACAGATGTTTTAGCCTATGATTGTGCTGCTAGGTAAGATGTTTTCCTTACCTACTTCTTGATCTTTGATTTTACTTTCTTCATATACATTTTAAAATCAGTTTATCTATTAACAGAAATTATCTATATCATTAGAAGTTTGTTTCGAGTGATGTAAAACTTACACTCAAACAGAGTGTGTTGGCTAAAAGAGTAAACCACCAAATATGTCACCAACCATGGTACTAACTTAAATGAAGGAAAAATCATCTCACACTTCCTCTTGTACAAATCAGCGTCAAATCCTATATTCCTGTGGTGGAAAGACAAGACAAAAAAACAACTTTGCAGCAGCTGTTTTAAATACTTCTATCAAAAGGATGTTTTCAAGCGCAAATGGGTGTAAATTATTATATTTATTGTAATATGAAATCATCAAAACCAAAGAAGGTTATTGTGCTTTAGCTCATTAGAGTACAAGCAGTTACTCCATCCATGAAGGATTGTATGCGTGTGGATAGGGTTAGCCATGTTTTAGCTTATTTTTCATTCCCTGTTCTGAAATAATTTATCATCATGGATGATATGAATGTTAATTATTTAATTGTTATGTATCAATACATCTCTATAGATCTTATTGCTTTCTTAAATATTCATTTGTAATTCCTAAGACTGTATGCATATGCTCTTGTCATTTACAGACATAAACACAGAATTTTCTGAAATTGAATTAAAAGAATATAATTAATACTTTACTTGCAGTATTATGTGTGAGTTGTAATTGGGTTTTTGTATGTTAATTTAACTTAATCTCTCCTTGCTGCGTTTGGCATTTGGTATCTCATTGTTTCAAAATGCAAGATCAAGCTAGACTTAGCTATTTGTACGTCACTCTGATTTTTTTTTTTAATTAATGCAGTATTTTTCAACAAAATACTTTTTAATGTTGAATAGAAATACATACTTGAGATGAATAACTTAATTCATTAATTTTTTATTTTCCTGTATAAGGGTTTAATTTGTTAAAGATTAATCTAAAAACTGAGTCACATATATATTTTTTCAAAATGTACTTTTCCCAGAGAGAAGTATGCAATGATGTTTGATGAACCAGTACTCCTACAAGCTGGCTGGTGGTATGTAGCCTGGGCAAGAGTGTCAGGACCTAGCAGTGATTGTGGATCTCATGGACAGGCCTCTATTACTACAGATGATGGGTATTGTTTTTTCTATATTTTTTAATGTGAAAGGAGATCTAATATTGCTTGAATAATAACTGAATTATTTCTCTTGCAGTGTTGTATTTCAGTTTAAAAGTTCTAAGAAATCAAACAATGGTACAGATGTGAATGCAGGGCAGATCCCACAGTTACTATACAGGTAATATATTGAACAATTTATTGACATATATTTTAAACAAAGGCCCTGTTAAAGTAAGCATATGTTTTATGAAAATATTACTGTATTAAGCTAAGGAAATCAATATCTAAAAAATTTAGGGAAAACCTAGTGTTTTTGAGGAAAGTAATAGATCTATTAAAACAAAATTGATTTCACTGCAGTTTTTCATAACATAGCTTCAGTTATGTTCTGAGACTTTCATTTAGTTCTGTAGAACCTCGTGATTTCATCTAACATGCTTCATTTTTTTTCTGGTTGGGAAGCATTCTATTTAGTAGCCCTCAGTTTACAAGCAGTATACTATCAAATATGATTTTAATGAAAAAAATCCAAAACCTATTTGTGCTTTACAATAGGATACCATAAACTTATTGGTCCCATGATAAATCTCGTGTAATTGTCTTTTAAAGAGCAAGAACTCTTTCACTTTATTGCTAATACATTTTTCAGATTTCCTCAGATATATACAAAACCTTATTTTTAAAATAAATAAATAAATAGATAAATGGATAGATGAATGAATGAATAAATAAATATTCCTTCCCGGCCCCATATTCATTCTGGATCTTGGAATTCTTTACATGCCAGTTCTCTTGCAATGTCCTTTCTAAGCATGTCCTTTTCAGGGTCCCTTATCAGAACAGCTCGGTTCTGCAGGTAAGCTTTGTGTCCATAGACCCCCATCTCTCCAGAGGAAGGTTTCGTTTTGATTGATTCACATAAAATCCTGGCAGAACCTATTAATCATTTGGGATATCGGCCAGTTGGAGCGAGTCCAGAGGAGGCCACTAAGATGCTCAGAGGACTGGAGCACCTCTGCTATGGGGACAGGCTGAGAGAGTTGGGCTTGTTCAGCCTGGAGAAGAGAAGGCTCCGGGGAGACCTTATTGCAGCCTTCCAGAACCTGAAGGGGCTACAAGGAAGCTGGGGGGGACTTTTTACAAGGGCCTGTAGTGACAGGACAAGGGGGAATGGGTTTAAATTGAAAGTGGGGAGGTTTAGATTAGATATCAGGAAGAAATTCTTCCCCGAGAGGGTGGTGAGGCACTGGCACAGGTTGCCCAGAGAAGCTGTGGATGCCCCATCCCTGGAAGTGTTCAAGGCCAGGCTGGATGAGGCTTTGAGCAACCTGGTCTAGTGGGAGGTGTCCCTGCCCATGGCAGAGGGGTTGGAACTAGATGGTCTGTCAGGTCCTTTCCAACCCAAACTGTTTTATGATTCTATGAATTTCTACGGCGAGGTGGCTGCAACAAAAATTAAACATGTGTTGGAGGCTCTGAGGGAAAGATACAGCTGAAAAGCCGTGAGTGGCCCAAAGGGAAAGATGCTGCAGTAACAGGTGCTGCCTGTATTGGTTTGCTTTTTCTGTGGGGGACTTTGGGACCCACCTTTGGATATTTTGATTCCACACAATATCCCACACACTTCAGAGTAACAAATAGCCTCAGGGGACCAGTAACCAAAAGAGAAAAAAAATACTTCTTTACTAAGAACCGGAGTTCTTCAAGATGTTAGCACCTCTTTGTTTCCCTCCTCTTTCTCTTCCCTCTTGTACATAGTTTTTTGTCTTTTTGGATTGCAGTTTGAAGGCATAAAGGTATGCCCAAACTTGCATCTGCCTGCACAGGCGTGGACTGATTTTTATCTCCACAAAATACTAATAGACCAAAAAAATAGTGTTGATTCTGAGTTCTTGTTATGCCTTGATATCTCAAACATGAACATGTGCCTTAAACATACCTATAGACCGGTGTTCCTTGAGGAATAACATTTCTACTCTTAACAATGTCACTGTCAAATACTGAAAGAATACAGTAAGTATATTTCATAATTTCATATGTAATTGAATCTCAACTTTATTATCAATTGGCATGATTCCCCCAGTTGAACAGAATTCAGGGTATTTGTTTGTTGGTCTGGAAGGATTGGGAACCAGCAGAAATTATGCTGAAACTGACTATTTTTTGAACAAATGCCTTAAACTTTTTTCCCACTTTTGTTTCATTTGAACAATACAAACGGTAAAAACTTGGTGCAGATTTCAAATCAGTTCTTAAATTGCTCTTCCAGGCTGCCAACAAGTGATGGCAGTGCATCCAAAGGAAAACAGCAAACCAGTGAACCTGTGCATATTTTAAAGAGATCTTTTGCCAGAACTGTCTCAGTGGTGAGTATTACACAGAAACTTCTGTTTCTTGCAAGTTCATTCATAATTGGAACACTGGGAGATGTACGTATGGAAATGATTTTTTTATCTGCCTTATCAAGCAGAAGGTAGGTATGCTGATACATAGAACATTGTGTTTTTCTACTTTTTCCTGAAGATTTCAGATGTAAACTTAAATGTAAACTAAGCTTGGCATTGACCTGAGGTTAAGAGCCCAGAAATGTATTTGTTTACAAGGTTTAGTTTATTTTTCCATATGTGAGCTACTTAGTGTTTGGTTTTTCTGGGGAGGTTGGGGAGTGGAGTGGGGTTGATTTCATACTTACTGTTGGTATTCAACGTACAACCTTTACTCCCTGACAAGAAATTTAGTATTAGCAGGCTTTTTAGTGTTTTGAGGGAGCTTTACTTTGTGGTCTCTACCATGGTTTTAAATTACTGTCATTTATTAATTATTGGTGAAATTCATCTTCCTCTTGGATACATCCCAATATACATTAAGGATCAGATAACATCTAATTAAACTTTGATAAGCTGAGGTAAGGAGTATTAATAGGCACAGTGAACTGCAACTGTTAATAGAAGATAGTCTGCAGTCCTTCATATACAAGGAGGTTATTCAGATTTTGAGGAACCCTGCATTGTTAAAATGCAGTAATATCATGCAGAATAAGGCCAGTTGTGTCTTCATATTTTTCAAGTATAGTCCCTTATCTGTTACAATCAGTGATTAGTTTTAGTTCCATTCTGGTTTATGTTTTATACTGCATTATATGTACTGTCAGTAGTCTCAACTGATAGTTCCATTGAAGTTACTGCCTCCATCTGGACACTGGCAACCCAGTTTTCTTAACCAGCTTCCTTTCTCTCATTTGTGTATTCTCCATTTCTCCAGTATTCACTAATGACCAGAATGATCTTCTCCTGTGCAGGCTTCTTTTAGAAATGTGCTGTCTACATAATTAGCATTCTTAGTAATCATATTATCGACATGCTAATAGCTAGTCTTAATATATGCTTGCTTAAAAATATTTGCATTAAGCTCTGAACTTGTGTTTCTTTTAATACTTCACATTGTATCCTCCCTCTTCATTATATTGTTGCTGTTATTCCTCACCATGGATCTGAATTGGGTTAAGAGGAGGGTTTTGGCTTTCTGGAGCATTAGGTGTTTTATAGCTAACTTTAAAAAGCATCGTTATTGTTGCAGCTTGAATGTGTTACTGCAGTTTGAAGATATTAAATACAAAACATTTATAGTTTGCCATCTAAGGTACAGCTTTATGAAACTATCAACCACATATAATAACAGTTGAAACAATTTTTTTGACAAACAGAACTTTATAAATCCTCCAATTTCTTGTGGACTAGCATACTGAAGTTTCAAGTACTGTAAATGTGATACAGTTCCCATGATCCTGCAGGTAACTTTTTTGCAAACAAAGCAAGGACAGCCCTGATAAGTCTTTACTGTTAGGAGTGTAATCTGTTAAAAGCAGGTATTACACGATTTATAGGCAGATGAAGCAAGTAAAATTTACTGAAAAACCTGTGTTAACAAGTGAATACAAACAGTTATTAGGTCTTAAATAACTGAGACTTGCAGGCACATAGTATTATAACATATGGTATAAATCGCTTTTGGCATGGTATTACAGTGAAGCATTCCCTACATTCTCAGTACTCTCTTTTATTGTCAAGCAAAGAGGATTTGATGTTTGTATGGCGGATGCGTAGAGCCATAAATATATTTTCATAATGAACATAGATGTAGATGCTATTTGCTTTTCATCTCACTCTGATTCTGAAAGTTCACTTTTTTAACACAAAATCTGTCCTCTGTATCCTTCATACCCTGAAACAGGAATGCTTTGAATCTTTATTGAGCATTCTTCACTGGAGCTGGACAACGCTGGTGCTGGGAGTTGAAGAACTTCGTGGCCTTAAGGGATTCCAATACACTGCTACTCTCTTAGATTTAGAAAGGCTGCGTTTTGTGGGCACTTGCTGCCTGAGGTTGCTGAGGGTCTACACCTGTGAAATATATCCAATATCAGGTATTCCTCTTAATTGACTTGTTTCAGATTTATCAGCAAATCAGAATCTACAGGAAACTCAAAAATCTAAGTGTTCATGTAGGGTGTGTAATAAGATGAAATTGCTTATAGAGGCGGTTTTATGGGAGCAATGAAGAGACTTGCTGTCAGAAATTTAATATTTGCAATTACCTGCGTAATCAGGTGGCCAAACCCACACATTTACATTGTAACTTACATGTATTTTAAAGTTAATTTCTTATTTGACTTGACGAGTTCTTTTCGACTATTTGTGTCTTCTGTTTTCCCATTTCTTTACACAGTAGCTGCTTTGGTAGTGAGCACAATTTAAATTTGAAAGACAGTACCTATTTTTCACGCCTGTAGTTGTTGCAGAACCTCACAAAGCCAACCAGGACATGCATATTAAAATGCAGCCTATGTTATGAAAGACTAGAGAATTGGAAGTTTCTGATGTTCACTTTTCTTCAGTGTAGTTTAACACCCTTCACTGTTTTCCTTTTGAAATTAACTTCTCTGAATGCAGATTCTTCAGTGTTTTTAGGTTCTAGTTGGTTTATTTGCATGTAAAATGTGCATTTTAATATGAAAATGTGTAATTTACTGTATATTTAACACTTCTCTTTGTGTAACTTTCTAGCTACAGCTAAGGCGGTTGTAGAAGAAACCAGCAAACTCGCAGATTGCATTGGGAAAACTAGGACCTTATTGAGGAAAATTTTATCTGAAGGAGTTGATAATTGCATGGTGAAGTTGGACAACGATCCCCAAGGATATCTCAGTCAGCCCCTCAGTCTTTTAGAGAAGCTGTTCTTCAGGAATTCCATAATACATTCACAGCTTGCTTTCATTCATTTTATCCAACACCAGCGCTCCAGTGGGCATGTCTTTGTGACTTGCTGAATTGTTTGGACCAGGTACGTTAAAATGGCACAAGGAAATACTACAACTTAGCTTGCCCTTTTGCTCACAGAGAAGTCAAGCGGTATTTAAAACCTTTATTCCTTTTTTGTGGTTATCCTGGTTTGCAGCTTCGTTTCTGCTGTGTTTTGGGTTTTTTAATAACTGGGTTTTTGTTTTGTTGCTTTTTGTTTAAAAGTGTCCAAGTTCAGCAAGAGCTAAGAACTTTTGTCTCTGTTAGCCATAAGATTCTCTCTGGGACAGTGCAGAAAATTTGTGGTGCTGGTAACTATCAGCACCTGCTTTTTTCGGTGTTGGGGCCGTGCTTTATATGTGATTCCTCTTGCTGCACGTTGCTTAGGAGCATACACATGGCGTTTTTAATACTCATCACTAACACTTGAGTAATTTCTCATTTTTAAATGTCACAGCAGTGCTCTGGTCCAGCAGAGTACATGAGAAGCTGGCAAAATTATTCTATAATCAACAGCTTCTAAGTCTCTTGCTTATTGTGAATGAGCATCCCACATCCAAACAGTGTTGTTGCTTGCTTGCATTGATTGCAGTGAGATATAAGCAATTTTTTTTCTTTGTGTAAAAATTAGTTTAGCATATAAAAATTCAAGGAAGAATCAGTTATTGAATATATTATTCTAATTAAATTGTGTGATCAATTATGCCAAGTGCTTTATCTTCACAGGGTGCCACAATTTCAAAAGTGATTTTAAATGGGTTTATCGTATTACAACATGTCAACTGACAAGTTTTAATTACTCCAGTCTGAAAGATCTAAATGGAAGCTCATGAGAGAAGATAATGCAAAATTCACAGGAAAGCTAAAGCATATGATATGCTTTATCTGAATTATTTTTATAATTACTATGAAACTGGAAAGCTCCTGTCAAACAAGTTTCTCTCTCATGTACTTTGAATGCAGTCGTGTTGTACTATTCATTTCTTTTTATGCTTTTAGGACATCCAGGAAGCGAACTTCAAAACGTCCAGCAGCCGGCTTCTTGCTGCTGTTATGTCTGCTCTCTGCCATACTTCAGTAAAACTGACCTCTATCTTCCCGATTGCTTATGATGGAGAGGCATTGCTGCGATCAATGGTCAAACAAGTCAGCACTGAGAATGACTCCGCTCTGGCCCATCGTTTTCCTCTTTTGGTTGCACACATGGAAAAACTCAGTCAGGTTAGGATATACTCTAAAAACTTAACAACTTGATTTACTTTGCGATAAAAGTTATGTAAGTTGAAGTTTTAGCTGTATAAGGCTGTAGCTGAATTTGCCTGAGTGTTTTCTTTTTAAAAGGCTTGTTTCAGAAACCATTATTTTATCCAGTTATCATCTTTCAGCCTGAAATATTCCAATTATTTCTTGTTTGGAGAATGTCTGAGCACAAATGATTCTTCTTTATTTTGGAATATTAAATTGGATGAAACACAGTTCAGAGCTGTCTTCTGTTGCATAGTGTTTTCTGCAACAGTTTCAGCTTTTTCATGTTATCTTAAGAATGAACATTCAGTGTTTTGAGGAAGAGTCAACACAGCTTTGGTACCAAGTCCTGTCTCAAACTGGAGTTTTAACATGAGTCAACGAACAGGTGGACAAGGGAAGCCCAGTTTGTGTAGTTCTAGCAAAGATTATTAAACGATTTTGTAACCCAGAGTTCTCAAACTGTATTTTTGCAGTTCTGTTACTCGAGAATAGATTTACAGGAATTAAAGGGGGAAAGGTGATAATCAAATATATGGAACTACTAAATAGTATTCTTCACTTCTGAAGACAAGAGGGGTAAGGTCTTACAAAATTGTGAATGGTGTGTGAAGAATAAATTAAAGATAATTATTGTGTCTTCCAATACCAAAACTTCTAAGCATCCAGAGACCTTATCAAAAGCTAAGTTCGAAAGGTAAAGCTGCTCTTCACAAAATATGCGGTTAAGCTGTGGAACATCTTCCTGCAGGCCGTTGTCCTACTAAAAGTTTTCAGACTTAGAAAGCACCCGCACAAGTTGATCAAGAAGAAATTGGCCAAAAGCCTTTAAATGCAAAGATAATGGATACAGCTGCTAAAGATAGAGTTCTGTGCGGTTATCTGTAAAGGTTTCCTCGACCTGATTTTCTTTGCTATCTGTTCACCACCAGGATATTTTTGGGAGCTGAAGTGTTGAGAAAGACAAGCCTTTGGTTTCTGTCAGTAGAACTTATTCTTTCTCCTTCGATGACTTTAATATGAGTAACTTGAAAAACAGTGGATGTCACTTCTAGGTAGAAGACACAGCAGGTGCTTGAGCTTAAACATGTTTCAGTCTTCGTTCAGTAAGGAGCAACTGTTTTTATAAGCACCTCACCACTGGTTTTATCTTACCTGTTGGCACAGAAGTTTCTCTGAGCTAACATTAAAGTCAGAAAGCTTCTGCCTTTCTTTTTAGACAGTGAGGAAGATGATGTGATGTTCCATATATATTGTTGCTGTGTATCTGTTGCATTCTCACATAAAGAGTATGGCAGGGAGGGCTATAAGAAAACCTTCCTCTTGACAAGGACCCCTATATATCTTTCTAATGCAATAACCAAAGTCAACACCCCCTCATTCTGGAAATCAGGAATATTGATCAGTTTTTTCTCAACTCATATTATGATAGCTTTGAGTATTGAGGGGAGAGCATCTACTCTCTAGACGTTTCTTATTTTAAAGCTGCTGATGATTTTTCAGTTACCTCATGGTTATAATATATAAAGAGCAACCTCTTTTTTTTTAATTAAGAAGAGTGTCATTTGTCATTTTTCTTTTTATAATGCAGAGCGAAGAAAATGTTTCAGGGATGACGAGCTTTCGGGAAGTGCTGGAAAAGATGTTGGTTATTGTTGTTTTACCAGTCCGGAACAGCCTTAGACGAGAAAATGAACTTTTCTCTTCACATCTCGTTTCTAATACCTGTGGTTTGCTTGCTAGTATTGTGAGTGAGCTTACTGCATCTGCACTGGGATCTGAGGTAAAGCTTCTATAAAATCATTCCTGTAAGTCTCTCAGTATAAGTGTATTATAAATGTGATACAGGCCATGAAAGCAGTTAGAGGTATGCAGATGTTTCATAGCTGCTGGAATTCAGTAGCTTTCAGATGTTTAAGATAGTTTTAAAAGCATGTGTACACTGTGTTAGGGAAGCTTTCATTATGGCTGAAGAATACTATGAATTCTTTTCAAAGGGAATTTTTTTGGAGTGCCTTTCTTTTTGCATGCATGTCTCCACACAGATACACTAAAATTATATTTGTTCGGTGCTCACTGGAGGCAGTGCCAAATCCCTGATTATCTCTGTGCCTCTGATGGTGTCACGGGTGCCTCATGACTTCTAACCCGATCTGCTTTTGATTATCTGTCAGAATTTGCAATGTTTTGTTTATGCATTATGTCTTCCTCCTTTGTATGTGAGGTATTCCTTACAAATCTCTTCCTTGATTTATTCAATGTTATGTACTATATATATTATATTTTTTATATTTTTTTTAGGCTTCATTAGAGTTTTTTCCAGTTTATTTGCTTTGTGTTCAAAAATTGATAGTGGTACTGAGTTCAGCTTTTTAAAATCCAGAGATTCATAATCACAGAATTTCCCTCTGTGGCACTATATTGTTGTTAAATGATAGCATTTGATTTTATTTTATTAAAGGTATGTCACAGTCTGCCATACTATCAGCAGATTATTTTTTTCACCAAAAGAATCCAACTTTTGGCAACACCTTGATCAAAGATGTTTTATCTAAGAGCTGTATCTTTCCTCTGATCTTGGCCTTACCTAAGGCAGAAATATGTAACTGCTCTTCTTGAAGCACAGTTAAGCTACCTTCTCTGCTAAGTCATCCTATGTAATACATATTTAAATATTTGAAAAAGTTACGAATCGGATTCCTAATTATTCCTGGCTAATTCCTAATTACTAGAAATTTTTTTTTTTTTTAATCCAATAGTAGCCCCAGTAGTGACATCTCTTATGTTTTGTCAGTCGACTGTTGTTGAAAAACTGGTAATTTAGTTCCTTTAACTTTGGTTTATTAAAGTTACCTAGTGTTTAGCCAGTAACTTTTTCTGTTGCTTGTACTTAACTTTCTACAGGTTGATGGGCTGAACTCTCTCCATTCTGTCAAATCCACTCCAAACCGATTCACTAAAACAAGTCAGGGAAGAAGCTGGAATACTGGGAATGGATCCCCTGATGCAATATGTTTCTCTGTCGACAAACCTGGTGTAGTTGTAGTAGGATTTTCAGTTTATGGTGGAGGGGGAATTCACGAGTATGAGTTGGAAGTACTAGTTGATGATGTAAGTGCTGCATTTGAAAATACAGTTGGAACGAAAGTAACCTCAGAGTTTTCCATAACATGTTTTATAATGTAATAATATTCTTACACAGTCTAGGCTACCAGTGCAGCAGCAGGTTTTCTGTTTGCTTGTTGTGGTGCTTTTCATGGTATTGCAAGCTACATGCCATATCCCAGAAAGGTCACTTTCTCGCTTACGGTTTTGAAATCTTACTTTATGGAAAATAATATTTGAAGTATAGCGGGATTTTCACTGCTGGGAGCTGAATGTCCATTAGCACCGGTTGTCTCTCTGCAAACTACAAAGGAAAATAAAAAATAAAGCAGACCAAGTTAAAACATTTTGAAACAAATACTGAAGAAAGGGGTCCCTACCGGCATGGTCATGCTACAGTTTCATATGCGTCTTAAAGGAAGCATAAAACCGCTGTGCCATCTTGTTGCGAAGACAGGCTTTTGCACCCAGTTGTTCACTTTAACCAACTGCTGTGATCTCTTCCAAAGGGCAAGCATAGGTTGCTATGGGAAATTCATCTCTCTGCTCAATACTTTTGTTTCCACAGGAAGGCTTGACTGTTGACCAAACAGGTTTTTCAGCTTTCTTCTATTTTTAGTGCTGTGTGTAACAATGTACAAGAAAGCATAACTTGCACAATTGTGTGAATGTGTCATTTATTTACATCAGAAATTTATTAAAGTGGTTTTGTTTCTTTGAATCAGAGTGATCATAGTGGAGATTCAACTCATTCTCACAGATGGACATCTTTAGAGTTGGTTAAAGGAACTTACACCACAGATGATTCTCCCAGTGACATAGCTGAAATCAGACTTGACAAAGTTGTGCCACTGAAGGTAAATAAAAGCAGTGCACATCTGTAGGTGTCATATGACTTGGATAACAAAAATTTTAATGCAAATTGGGTTTTGTGTATATATTTGCAAATTAATCTTGACATGTTTGCTGTATAAATTTTCAGTTTTACCTTGTGATTGAAAAATTTAAATCCTAGTAGCAAAAATAATAGCATAAAATAGATTGATTGTAATTGCTTAATAATTTAGAATATTCCTGAATATGCAACTTTTTTGTGTGCAATGTGGTAGCTAATTTTCTTGGGTACCTGGTCACTCTACAAGTAATTAGAAGTAATCTTTTTCTTAAGTTATGGTCTGTAGCTTGGCCTTTGTTGATTGCTGGATCTTTTTCAGTTGATTTCATTTGTAGAGTGCTTTGAAAGACTTTTCAGACTCTTTTCCAGTATTAAAGTAAAATAATAGCTTTCATAATACCCTGAAGCTCAACTTATGTGCTTGGTTTATATTGTGTGCTATTTTTGACTGCTTTCTTTTTAAGGAAAATGTGAAATACGCAGTTCGTTTGAGGAATTATGGAAGCCGGACTGCCAATGGAGATGGAGGAATGACTACAGTTCAGTGTCCAGATGGTGTAACATTTACATTTAGTACATGTAGTCTGAGCAGCAATGGCACAAACCAAACGCGAGGACAAATTCCACAAATTCTTTATTACAGGTTTGTGTGTTGTCATGATCCGTTTCTATGAAGAATTAATAAAACTATTGTAGTGCCTTTATACTGCATCTATTTTTGAGAAGTAACAGAAGTACACCTGGTGCGTGTTGGAGGAAGGAGCTTCTTTAACAGCAGTATTGTGTTCTTGCAGTGTAGTTTCAGACAAGTTACTTAGTGGGAAGACAGTTTTTGGGACACCAGTTGTACTGGTGCCTCTTCCAGTCTTGTTTTAGATTCTCTGGTGTTTTAATTTGGCAAATAATTTGATGGTTGACCTCTCTTACAAGGCCTATTGCCCACTACATTAAAGCTGTAATATGGAAGACCGGTAAGATGTGGTACTTCTATCTTTGGTTTTTTTGGTAACATAAGAGATTTTTGAGACTACTCACTGTAATGTTTCTCTCTGAATTCATTCAGTTACTTTCTCTGTGGCAGAAAGGATTGCATGTAGAGAAGCAAGGTCTGTTTATATAGGAACTATCTCTTCTTGCTATAGAGTCAAAGGTGTAAAAAGAGAAATTGCAACTGCCCGGAGAAAATCTGCCTGAAGAAAATCAGCTGGTCTGACTGTCCTGTAGGGAAGCTTTATTTTAGCCTTTCAGGATGATAGTAGGAATTCACTTAAGGTAATGCCTTTGCAGAAAGCATTGCCTTCATTTTTGAGGTGCTCACCCTGATATGTTTGAAGACATGATTGTAAAGTGTGACAGCACCTGAATACATGAATCACTACCATTATCTGTACAGCAAAAAAAAGTCATGCCTTTTACTCAAATCTCAATTTTGGTGGTAAAAGGCTAATGAAAACTAGATCCAAGGAATAACAGGAGTAAGAAATAGTAGTTTACTTTGATATTTAATTTAATTAATAGCTACCTAATAGAAGATCAAGATGATAAAATAAGTAGTGCTAAAACAGATTACATTATTTTGGACTAACAGTCACCAGAACTTGTTGCTCTTAAGAAATTTTGAAAGGAGCTAAAATACAAGGACATTAAGTTGCCAGCAAAACAGTGACAACAGTATATTTGAAGATACAGGCTAGTTCTCAGCTCTAAAATACAAGATTGGCTGTACTCAGAGACTCAAAGATCCAGCTTGTCAGTAATAACAGTGATTGTCAGAGAATGGAATTAGTGGTGCATATCATGATACCTCTTTTGTTGAGTCTCTGGAATCTTGAAGATCTGTGTTCAGGGAATTCCTCCAGCATTTCAAAGAATTTTATTATGAGTATCATAATATATAAGGAAGAGGAAAGAAAATAAGGAAAATACATATTCCCACTCCTAGAATTTCTGGTTTTATATAAGCAGAAGAGGCAATAATAATTGCCTTCATTTCAGAAAAGCAAAGGACATAAAACTTCAGTAAATGGAAGCTTCAAGGCATACTAACTTAATAATAAGCTAACATATGGCAAAAAAACCCACACCAAAGTGATGTCTTGCGGATCAGAACTGTCTTGGGGTTTTTTTTGTTTCAATTGTGGTAAAATTCTAATAAGTTTCTGAAAGACTGGAATGACACAACTCAGAACTGTTATAGAATAAATGAAGTTTTGTTTGGAAAATTTGCAGACTGCTGCCTGTAATCACAGTGTCTTTTGAAGTTTGCTTGGGCAGCAGAAAGCTAAATGTTATCTGATGGATGACTACAGTAATGGACTTAGTCAGTTTGACAATTCCCAAAACTGATATATAGGAACAAATGTTCAGTCAGCTATTACAGAACAGAGCTTGGAAGGGATGCTCAAATACAAATGGAATTGTTGCTTATGCAAATGCCAGGAAAGGCCATACCACAAGAAGTGTGCTAACTTAGTTCTGATTGGGGCAGAAAGGCTTTGGAAGGATTTGTTGGAACTGTACCCAGTTGGAATTGCACCCACTGTCAGTCACTAATAAATTCAGATTAAAAAGGCTTGAGGCTGACAGCAAAACTACAATTCTAGGACACAATGACAAAAAACCACACCTTTTGTAAGAGTGGTTAATTTAAGTCATAGGGAAGAATAGGTATCCTTGTCGTGTACTGAACTGCTCCAAGTAAAGCTTTTGAGCGTTCTGAGGTCCCAGTATGTACTGAACTGCTCCAAACGCTTTTGAGCGTTCTGAGGTCCCAGTCCTGGAATTGTAATTTTCTGGAATAGTGTTTTGAAAAATCACATCTTTCTGGACAATTGTAAGAAATCTGAAAGAGAATGGGAAACTGTGCTTTGCACTAAGTGATTTTGGTTGCCTGTCCCAAGGCTGAATCACTATCATATTGAGGGCTGGAATTAGTTCATAATTGTCATTTAACTGGGTTTTTTTGGCAAATCAAACCAGATATTTTATATACCTTATTGAAATAGTTTTGTGCATAATGTTGTTTAGGAGACTCTAATTTGACTTACAGAGTGGATTTCAAAGAAAAAAAATCTGTTAAGGGTTAGCCTAAGATTGTATTTAAAAAACAAATTTAATCATTAGAGTAGGGAGGGAAAAATCTTTTTCCCTGTTAGGATACAACAGAAATATCCCTTGAAAGAGATTTACTCGTTTCTGTGATGCATTTAGTATTACTGTATTTTTGTCAGGATAGGTGGTTGGGCTTGGAAAAGCACAGCAACTAATAAATTTCTGTGATTTGAAAGGCATCTGGTCAAAGGAAACATAAACGTTCCATATTTTCTGCCAAACAAACATAAAATTACTGCAAAGGGCTAACACTGAGGCATTGCATCCACAATATCTTCTCTGGCTTCTGTGTTTCCTTTATTGCTTTAGCATAAATTGTTTTGCTTACTCTATGACGAAAATCAGTTTGGTTTTGTGGTTTTTTTTTTTCTTTAATATAATTTTGTATTTTGCAAACTTACTTTCACTTAATCCACCATCCAGGAGTGAGTATGATGGAGATCTGCAATCACAGCTTTTGAACAAAGCTAATGAAGAAGACAAAAATTGTAGCAGGGCTCTTTCTGTTGTGAGCGCCGTTGTACGAGCAGCCAAAGACCTGTTGCACAGGGCACTTGCTGTAGATGGTAAGGCTTTTGAGAACTGACTTTCAGAATTTACTTTTCAAAACGTCTTTCTTTGCTAGCAAGAGATGTTAATAGAATACCAGTGATATAAAAATTGTGATATTTCTTTTTTGCTTCCCAAAGATTATTTTTCTAACCTGTCATTGCTGTAGGTATCAAACTGTAACTTTCTAAGTCATAGAGTTGCAATTGAGATGTCATAGGCAGGTACCTCGTATAAATTTGCTCGTCAGTTTAGCAACTGTTATGTTAAAGCTTCTAAGGTTCTTTATTTGCCAAGGATATGCTGGGATGCGTCAGTTCCAAATTTATTGCATGTTTTGCACAGTGGTGGTAATTGGCAAGACTGGTGAATGTAGTGCATTTATAAGCACTTGAAGATCAATTTTTTGAGAAATGTAGACATTAGTCTTAAAGCTGAATGGTTTTAAGCTACTATCTTCAGCCATTCTAGTCAAAATGCCCAGAACATTGCATAGTGCTATAGAAGTGCAATTGGAAGGCTGGGAGGAGCTTTTTGTGCTAGCTTTTTTACCGTAGAAAGTATGAACACAGTTTCACAAAATGGCAAAGAATGCAATAAAATTACGCCCCAAGAGGAGGAAGTTTTTTAACATATGCTGTATATAATGGCGTGTTTATCTCAGGGGAACTTTGCAGGTTTAGAATTTGACAGTGCCTAGATAATGAAAATAATTTGAAGTAATAAGTGATGTAGAAACTACAAGTTTAACTCGAAGCAAACCAGAAAAATAAGATGTGTTTTGAACCATGGGACATGTATTAATATTTGTGCTGTAAATATCTGTGTTTAGCTGAAGACATTCCAGAACTACTCAGCTCTTCCAGTCTGTTTTCAATGCTGCTTCCCCTCATAATAGCCTACATAGGACCAGTCGCAGCAGCTATTCCCAAGGTATGCTCCTCAGTAGAAATTACTGAAGAAATCTAAGAATGTTATACAAGAATGTTTACTCTCAAAATCTGGACATCTTGATTCCTTATGATTTTACTAATTTGTGGTTTATATTTGAACGTGTGACTCATGAATTTTCCAAGAGTCAAGAATTCAAAAAAAAGTAATGTTTTAAAAATTTCTTTTTTATAACTCAAAGACATTATGAAAGAATACCTTAAGGAAGCCGAGGGAAAGATGACAGGCTTTAACAGTAGGAAAAGACAAGAAGTTAGAAGGATTTGCATTTATTGACGACTATTGGTGGGGTAAATGTAAATCCGTCCCATTCAATTTATGTAATAGAATTATGTAAATTCTGTTTTTATGGTAAACATCCAAAGCAGCAGTAGTTGCACATTAATAAAGATTAATTTTATCACACTTAGTGATGGGAAGATGGCAGTTTATAAGTAAAAATAGCCTGCCTTTTCAGTGGCACAGCATTCTTCCATGTGCCTGGTCTGGAACACTCCTGAAATCTGTTACTAGGTTTACAAATGTCATTAATCCTTAGCTAGTAGATGGTACTGCCTTTTGTTGCTTTTTCATGAACTGTAAGATCTCTTCTGACTCTTTAAAGGGGGAGGGAAGAGCACTGGCCACTTAAAATCTAGCAGATTTCATTTCATTAAAAGTAGTTCCAAATTTTAGTTGGCTTGTTACTGTGACGAACTAGTTTTTAGAATCAGTGTTTGCTCTAGAAGTGCTCCTCGCCTTTGAAAATGTCATGAAGATTACAGAGAACAATGTGATGCTTAACACTCCATGCATATGTTGAATATTTGGAAAAAAAGCCAATATTAATGTGTTATAAAACAAATTATAACTGGACTATGACTTCAGTACGGTATTTTCTTTCTGTAAACTCATGCTTATTTTTTGTTTATGTTACAGCCTTTTAGTAGGTGTTTTAGTGAAGCTATCTTACAGTTGTGAACAGGGTTTTTTGTTTCAGCTTTGGCAAGTCTCCAAGAGGAATAATTAAAATTAACTTAATGCTGCTTTTTCTGTCAGGATTGTGTAGATGGAAAATGACTGAATGAATTGTAGTAGTGATATTCTGAGAATATCCAAAACAACCATCATAGAGAAATGCAAGTTTGTGAGTATGGGTTTCACCCAGCCATAAGTAATACTTTATTGCGTGTGGTGTTACAGGTTGCGGTTGAGGTCTTTGGCTTAGTACAACAGTTACTTCCTTCTGTAGCAGTTCTGAATCAGAAATTCGCTCCTCCAGCTTTCAACCCCAATCAGTCTACGGACAGCACCACCGGCAACCAGCCGGAGCAAGGGCTTTCAGCTTGTACTACCTCCAATCACTATGCTGTTGTAGAAAGTGAGCATCCCTATAAACCTGCCTGTGTTACGCACTATAAGGTAAGCACCCTCTCCAAGTGTGCATGTAGTTTCTTAAAAGCTTTTGACATGTGGGTTTTGTTATGTCAACATTTACCATCTGAAAAATTGTTTCCATGAGTGATAATTCATGTTGTCTAATACAGGAGACAGTTTCCTATATTGTTCTCATTCTGCTTTTTGGAGAAACCTCTGTTTTTCCAGTAAGTATAGGGGAAACCGTAGTGGAAACTATTGTAGTTTTAACCCCCGATGCAGGTATCTACTGTAAGTCCCTAAATTTGCCCAGTCTTAGATTTTCCACCTGTCATGCAGTTTTTTTGCTCTAACTGTACAGATGGTAGAAATTTGAAGTCTTTATGTATACATTATCTAATCATATCTGACTTTCTTGCCTAAGGCTAAAACAATGCTTTGTAAAAAAAGCTTAACGTCAATTCTACTCAAATTAATATGCATTATATTATAGGCATCCTTATGTTGGCTGTTGCTGGTCTGCCATTTTAAATTATTTATTAATTACTTTAACTTGGACCATGATTTGGCATTGCAGAAGTCTCTGAAGTCCTTTTAACTGTGTTAAGTCACTCTGTGTAGGATTCATTCCACCTTACATAGACGCCTCTTGCAATACAACTAGAGTTTTCTGAATGTCAGTAAATTAAGGATGTTTTTTCTAGCTGAATAAAGAGCTGAGGCATAAATTACATGCCTGAGAGATAAATCACAAGTTTCAGCTCTTGAAATAGAGTTTTGCACTTGCATTGGTTCCATGACTGTAAACCCAGCCTGGAATGAAGTCAGAGCTGAAGGAGGTCATTCATTACTATTCCACTATTGCACTGGCTTGTCCTGTGGGAGAAGACATCCACTGCAGAAAATGTAGTTATCACATGAACTTCCTGAAGCGATGATGCTTATTATTGTTCTAAAAGTCTCTGGAGCTGATCTGAAGCCTTAGGCTTAGTTGTTACTGCTTTTGAATTTTTGTAGGTATATGCTGTCATGCTGCAGGCCATATTCACAAGTGTGATTCAGCTACTGTGTACTTTTCTAGGATTGTGCAAAACAGATATTGAATGTGTTTGTTGAAGTATACATTTAAAAAGGTGTTTGAGTTACATGTTTGTAGTAGTTGTCTGTGGTTGTGGAGTTCTTAAAAACTCCTCTGTGGAGTTCTTAAAAACCATCACAAAAAGTATTGTAAGTGCAAATACTTAATCTGAACATAAGTTGTAATAGATGATTATATAGTAAGGTATATAAAGCAATTCAGGTATAGCTGAATTGCAGAGAGTAAATTTGGTTAATGCTAATCTGAAGCATATCAGAACAACTGTAGGGAATTGCATAATTGAATCACTTTCATAGCCTAAAGAGTTAAAACTAAATAGAAATGAAGAATTAAATGAAAAAGGGAAAAAAAGAAAAAAAATCAAACCAACAACCCCAAAGCTTGCAAATAATTTGACTGTTATTTTGGTTTAGGTGACTTTCCCTGAATGTGTCAGGTGGATAACAATAGAGTTTGACACTCAGTGTGGCACTGCTCAATCGGAGGATGTTCTTCGTTTACTAATTCCTGTCCGAATTGCGCACAGTCTGGGATTTGGACCAAAACATGCTTCTGTCCATGAAAACCTTAATTCATGGATAGAACTGAAAAAGTTCTCTGGATCTTCAGGATGGCCTACCATGGTATTAGTATTGCCAGGTAAATAAATAGATACTGCGATAATTTCTAGTAATGTGAATTATTAAAATATTGAAAGAAAGTTTGATTTTTCTGCAAAATTATCTTAGAAAGTAAAATTTTAAAAGTGTCTTCATCCAAGCTAACAGGATTCCATTATGAGCCACTGGTTGTACATTAATTGATTAGGTTAATATTAGGTTTCTTGTTTGAAGTGTTGATCTGTGTGTTTTTCTTGGTTTTACTTTACATGTTACATATAAAAAACAGGTTTCATATATGTTCATGTAGAAGAGGAGAAATACAAAAGGGTTTCTTAATACTTTATGTATTCTTTTACTTCCTATAAGGAAATGAAGCTCTTTTTTCTCTGGAGACTGCGTCAGACTATGTGAAAGATGAAAAAGCTTGTTTTTATGGTTTCAAATGTTACGCAATTGGATATGAATTTAGTCCAGGATCTGATGAGGTAAGGAAAAAGTGATACAGCTGCAATTGCTGCACCTGTTAAATCTCTCCTATAAGGCCAGTTTTTTTGGTTAAAATATTTGTATTTCCATTCCTGACTAAGTAACATTAGCAAAATATTTTAAAATTCATATAAGTTTTTAACATTTTTTTGTTACAGACATTATTTCTTTGGAATTCTTTAATCTGAATATTATTGGAATGTCTTTTTGTTTGGTTTGAGTTTTTTTTAATAACTGTGACTGTTTGCAATTTATCAAGGGTTTAGTTTAAAATGCAGTTTGGAAATTTTCAGTCTTTTGGGGAGTCTCTGAGAATACAAGGCAAGTCTAGGGTTACTGATTTTGAACACTTTTTCCAAAGAAGGATTTTTTTACCAATTTCATATATTGCCAGTTTCTGTAAGTGATCCTAGAAAATCCATTAAATGGAGGTTTCCTGTGTCCCCCACAGTTTTCTGGTGGTGGTGTTTTTGGTTTGGTTTGGGCTTTTTCCCCTCCATGAAATACATCTGTCAGAGGTGTGCTGGACCACCCATAGATTTCTTTAAAATTCAAAATTGGTGTTAGTGTCAATGCCTTTTTGTGAACAAAGTTAAAAAGGCTGTGTCTGCGTCTGGCTGGGACAATTTAAAGGCAAAATATCAAATAAATTTGTTTATGATTTAAAAGGTAGCCACAGCCTTTCAGTGACAAGTCTGAGGGCTGGGGGGAGTTTCACGGGCAAATAAAAGGGAAAAACTGTCAAGGACATCTCTTTGGATCTTTAATGGGGAAAGGGAAATTATGGAATCTTTTTCCCATCCTTGCCTCTCTAATTAGAGAAGGGTAAGAGGGGAAAAACGTTATGAACAGTACTACCTTTAAACAAGATGGGAATGTGAGATTGTGTGCTACGTATATATACAGCATAGAAGAGGCATTGATTTGCCATTTGAATATCTGTCAGTAGTTTTTTATACTAGACAGTTCCCTTTCTTTTTAATATTACAGACAAAAGACAATTACCATTTTCAGCTGTTCTTAGTAGGCTACCGGAAGCACAGTAACGCATTTATTAATACTCTCACCTAGTTGAAATTCTTCTAAAAATTTCGTGCTCTGGCCCATGTCACAGCAGAACATGACAGTTCAGCTGTTTGGTAGTAAGAACATCACTGAGAAACATCAGGCTGGAACACACAATTAATATCTCTTAGGATAAATCAGTGTCAGGGAAACGCATTCATTGTCCTGTTTTCTGAAACACTATTTTTATTTCAAAATTTGTTTCAATTTAAAGGGTATTATTCAGCTGGAGAAAGAATTGGCCAATTTAGGAGGATCATGTGCAGCAGCTTTGATGAAGAAAGATCTAGCACTTCCTATTGGTAAGTCCATCATTGTTTCACGTTTTCTGAATTAATACTACCTTTAAGTCTTAATGTTGCTTTTAGTTAGAGATGATACTAAAAAAAATGATTCTTAAAACTGAATTAATCGAACAAGGTAATAAAGTGGTATTGTTTACTGCTTACACTCTTCCCTTCATATGTGTATGGGGAGGAGGGAAAGCTCATTATTTAAATCTGAACCAACTCACCCCATCCACAGGTAGTATATCAGTGTACGAGCTATGTCCTACAGTTTCCACGTGGTACTTCACAAAGGTGCAGGTATCTTATTTGTATCTCTCTCTCACTGTTTTTTCTCCCTGCACTCCACTCCTTTCTGAATGAAGAATACCTGCAGCATTGAATTGCAAAATTTCAAATGAAATGTTTAAACCTGAAAGTGACAATTGCATCTGTAGACCTTAGAGCCTAAAATATTTCTGCTATAGGGTTTTTTTTTCTGTTACAAAAAAACCCTCAAACATACTTTTACAGGAGATGCAGCAAATAAATGTTTACAGTAACCCAAATACAATTTAAAATGGAAGGAAAAATATGAATTTATGAAAATGAGTGGATGGTGGAAATCGAATTAGAACTTTCTAATGATGCAGCCATATTCAGTGTGCTAGCAGTTCTCCTAATTAACATTAGTGTATAGGAAAAACAGTTTTGTGACCTATAGTAGAATATCTTCTTGATCTTGGAGCACAAATGAGAGCTGAAACACTGTTAATGAGGCTGGAAGTGGGTATTAATGAGCAGGAGCGCACTGATAAATGTCCAGTTATAAACACAAAACCTAAGTTGCATTTTTTAACCCAGTGTTTTGCTTGTGTATTTGAATGTGCAAATTGTTATTTTATGTTGTATATAAGCACCTCAATTGCACTGGTTCTGTATGTCTCTCTCAAAAGTATAGGCAATTCTGTAGTTCAAATAGTGCCCTTTTTTTTAATCCTCCAAACAGCCACATTAACTCCTCAGTTTTGTTGACCACGCACCCATTTATCCTGCAGTTCTCTTAGGCCAAAAAAGAAGCTGAAACTGAAATGCTTCTAACTTAATTTCCCAGGTTTTCTAGTACTTGATACTTGTCTCTGAAGAGGGATTTTTTGTTTTGTTCTGATTTTGAATGTCTGAAACAAGAAGGAAAAGTAGTTGGTACGTAGCTTGGCTTTCAGACGGAAGGAATTTGAAATGGCATGCAGTTAAGGTAGCTATGCAGTCTCAGCCACCTATAAAAGTCATTGTATATGAACTGCAAGAGAAGGAGGATTAGGGGCATGACCTGTAAGGAGTTTCCTGATTACTGACATAATTGCAATTGATTCACCTGACCATTTTCCTAACACCAACTCAGGGACTTCAGGCCAGTCCATTAGTACTACGAAGCTAATTACAAACAGGCATCATCTGTATATATTGTTTCTCTGCAAGACCACTGAATCCTGTGAATAAACAAAGGTGACAAATACGGGCAGCAGTGGTAGTGTGTGCCGATGTAAACCGCTGTGTAGCCTTTTAAAGCTGGTTTTGGTTGTCTGTAATTTTGCTTTGTTCAAGTGTTTTGCTTGATGTCTCAGAAAAATACTGTGTCTGTGAAAGAGGTAAAATGGGGTTTTCTAGAGCAATATTTAGATGACCTAGTATCAGACTGCTTTTTCTGCATTCTGTATTATGTTATCTTCCACCTTTTGCTGCAAGTGGAATGGTGTCAAAAAATACTGCATTACCATTTCTTATCTGCAGAGCAGTATCATCTTACTCATGGAACGGAGTAAGAAGACCCCACCTAATCATATAGAAGACTGTCTTGTAATGCATACACACAAGGATATGTCCTACAGTTTCCACGTTTCAATTGTTTGAATACCCTTTGTATTATACTTTTCGTACTTTATTTTATAATTTCTACAGTTCTACCTTTGTTCCATGTGTGGATGTATACAGGCAGAAGAAAGTAACATAAGAAAAAAGTCTCACTCCAGAAAAGAATTAGCAACTTAACTTACAATACCTGAACTTTGACATTTAGAAGTCAGGCATCTAGATCTAAGCTCTAAATTTCTTTTAGAGTTAATGTGGACATCTTCAGAGGATGGTTCATGTCATCCTAAGATGAAGATGTAAGAAAAATGAAATTCATCATCCAAAGAAGGGGCCTGCTTGTCCTCCATTTGTTACAAAGATATTCTTGTAGTACCTGAGTCTGAGCTCATTATCTCATGCTTCACTACACAAAAGTAGGTGAAGTAAATCTTGCTTCATTTCCCAGTTACTCTAGGCCTCTGGATCCAACTAAATGCTCTTAAAACCTGGTGATTTTAATGAAGACAGTAAGAAACTTCATGATAGTGGCAGAATTTTAAGAAAAGGAAATAGGAAACACAAGGTTGAAAATTGTCACCAGGTACATTGGTCAAAGGTTGTGCAAAAGGCATCGTAGCAGTAAAAACAAACAAACAAAAAACAACAACAAAACTTGTCTGGAAACTTGCTGTCAAGGAAAATAGAATGATTGAACTGACTTCAAATCAGACTTAATTGTTGTTGCCAGCATCCTCCCATCTTCATTTTATTTGCACCTACTCTATTGACATTAAGGACTTGTCCTTCACAAAGAACTTGCTTTTTAATAATTGTTGTAGTTGAGTATATTTTGTATACAAGTAGCTAAATACCTGTATGAGTATTCCTCTAGAACCGTTAGGAAAAAAGTATTTTCAAAGGACATCAAGGAGACTTTAGCCTTTTTTTGCTCCCAAGTAAGATGGACCAGATGGGGATTCTATCACATATTAGGAAAACTTTGAGAGTACAGCCAAATACTGTCTGAGTTACCATGTTCAAAAGGTCACACTTCCTCCTTGTTCTCCAAGACTCAAATTTAGGATACTTTTTAAGAGAGAGATCTAGTCTGTCACCAAGATCAGACTCAAACAGCAATGTGGAATTGGTTGGTGTATTTAACATTATTAATTACTTCTATCATATTTGAAACAATTTTTTCCTTATCAGTTTTTACGTATCAGTATTTCTTGGAATTTTAAAAATGCCTTAGGACTTGATTCTTCTTATTTCTCTTTCTGTCTTCTTACTAGTAGAATTGCCTGACATGTTTTTGAGAGAGAGTAGAAATATGGTAGCCTTACCTGGTTTACTTTTCTGTTGAAAGACTGTGTTTGGCAATTCTGGTCACCCTGGAATCAGACTTGAGGTTGCATTTGTGAAAAAGACATACTGTATAATAGAATGCATTTGAGTTTTATGTTTTAGGAGGAATCATAACTTACTAAACTGTGCAGAGTTTATCAAGTTTCCAAATACTGTTACTAGGATCAGTTCTTAAAAGGGAACAGCTGGTGCATACTCCTAGGTACTGCTTCCCAGAAACCATCTTGACCTCCCAAAATGTTTTTCTGAAAGTTTCTGGTCACATGCAGAGATTTGCCATACATACTGTCTTGGAGATAAGATGACAAGTACCAGATTTTTGTTTTGTATGACATGGATTGTTTATTTGCTTGAGCACTGAACTACACAGTACTGCATGTTTACTATATTGCTTGAAAATATTATCTTTCAGCTGCTGGTAAAAAAATGTTACACATCATCTTGTGAACTTAAATTTTGTAATATAAAAGGCTTCATTAAACAGAACTGAAATTCACATTCCATCACATGTAGCTAATTGTCAGTATTATTAGTAGGTAAAACAATTTTATTTTTATATATATAAAATTATATTTTTAT